TGTGTAGATGCAGACAGCTTTGACGGTCTGGTGCACCATCTTTCCCTATAGAATGCTGCAGGCTGTCACATTCAGGGATCTGTGAAGTTAGCCTATTATAACATGAATGACTGGTTGACTTGGAATATGTCCCATGTACTTACTACTATGTATTAGCAGATTGTATGGCTGTTTAATGCAGACATCTTGACTGTAGTGTGTTAAAGCTTTGGTATACTGGGATAAAGTAACCAGGTGAAGAACTTTGCCTTGCTGAGTCTTTGTTGTGTGTTTGTGCCTTTTTGGATGACTGAATAACTTTCTGACAGCAGTAAATTATGTACACTAAATTACATACCTGAGCTGTAGTATGATAAAAACTACTATTATTATACAGTGATCTCAGAACTGGGTTTTAACATTAGGGTAATGCCGCGAATTGTAGAAAAATACTTGATATGGAAGCCTTGTACATAGAGGAGCCACTAAGTTGCTCTTATGTCAGAGAGCGATGCTATGTTTAATCAATGCTCCACAGTCATCTGTCAGGTGTATACGTTTATAGGTTGGGAATTTTGGGGTGTGTCATGACTAATGTGCTGTTCTTACATTCAGGGACCAAATGGAAAAACTAAGCTAGTCAGACTTGAGCTTTTCAGGTTCTTGCTTCAATAAGAAAAAAAAATCTGTTTCAGAAACACTGCCAGGTGGTATTTCCAAAAGGAACTGTACTTCTCTGGGCCAGCAGCTGCTGAGAAACATGGATGGGTCTGCCACAAGATACACTTCATACGCTGTGTTCATAACTTTGCAGTGTGGTTCTGACTGCATATTACAGAAGTGCCTGTTGCTTACCGTTGCTTAAAAATGTCATCAGAAATAGCGCAAAGATGCCAGTGGTATATAATTACACATCTCTTACCTACAGAGCCTGCAAATTCACTGTCTGGACTCGGGAAATACTGAGTGAATCTTATTAGCTCTGTGTCAGCACGACATGTTATACTGTTATAGCCTTCTCAGAATAATCAGGCAAAGTCTTCCCTTATTGTCATGCTTACTGAAGGTACTCAAATGGAGTCGGGTTAAGGATCCTGGCATCCCTTTATCTCTGTACTTTCAGTGGCAGAGTGGGTGCAGACTAGGACCTTGCAATAGCTACACACGGTGTCATGACCACCTCCAGGTTTCATTATCGTCATTCTCTCTTAACAGGGCTTGCGACATTGGATCTCTGTTACTACTGCATTCTAAAAGTATGTTTGTTCACTGTTTTGAGCAACTGCAAGCATAATATGCCCACTTTATGGTCTTTATGGCCACTTAAGAAGTAGTACATTGATTCTCTGAACCCTCTCCAGTTTATTAGCATCTTTCCTGAACAGTGACACCAGAACTGGGCACAGCAGCCATTGTACCAGTTCCAAATACAAAGGTACTAGAACTTTTTCACACCTATTCCATCTTCCCCTGTTTATGCATCTAAGGATTGCATTAGCCTTTTTGGCTGCAGATCGCACTGAGGGCTTGTGTTCACTTGATTATCCACCATGACCTCAGTCTTTTTCAGAATTACTGCTTCCCAGGATAAAGTCCCCCCCACATTCTGTAAATCTGGCCTGCATTCCTTGTTCTTATCTCATTCTTTGGCTCCAGGCTGCCCCTCCCAAGCATCTCTGGGCCTGGCACTTCTGCTCCTGGCAATTTCCCATGGTTTCTCTACAATTATTGCGCTGTAGCACTTAATGAAGAGGCTACTTATGCCAACAGGAGACCTGTTGAACTGTTAGCCCACTTGTTAGGGCACTCACCTGGGAAGTAGGAGACCTGGCTTCAAATCCCTGCCCCAAATCAGGCAGAGTGGGGATTTGAACTTGGGTCTTCCACATCCCAGCCAAGTACTCAAACTATTCGGTTATTCAGAATTAACAGGGCCTTGTATACATCATGATTTTCATACTTTTTTTTTGTAGAAAATTCATGACAGTGTAAATGGCAAAATATTGAATTTCACAGATTTTCCATGGATTTTAAAGTAATGCTACTGAATTTCTAGGAAGGAATGAAATTTAGAAGTAACCTCAGTCAATTTTGACTAGTTACTTGTAAAATTCTTTCCATCCTTTAAAACTGACTAGCTAAAATAATTATTGTATTAAAGACTTTGTAGCCATTTTTTTTAAGGAAGGAGGGGAAAAACAAAGAAAAGATCACAGTTTGGGGGCATTTTCATAATTTCCATGCCTTCCAGGAAATTTAGACAGGGCACTGACTGTAAGGGAAGTAGCACACTCCTCTGCTCCTTTTTGTGTGGTTGAGTGTGCAAAGAGCACGCTTACTGGATCAGGCCCAGCTGAGGAAATCAGTATGTGAATCCCACTAGGGCTTAGATGTAAAGAGCAGCTTGATAGTGTCAGAACTTAGATTTGCGCATGCCCACTGACAGAAATGTAGGGGACTTTACCAGCAGAAACTTAGGCACGTAGGGACTTTGGGCACCTAAAGGGTCAAGCAGCAGCCAGGCAGTAGTTTCATGAATGCCAGTGGTGCCTAGATGTTAGATTCAGGCACCTAAGGGTATGCCTATACTGAAATTAAGAACCCAATGCTGGCCTGTGCCATCTGACAGGCTAAGGGGCTGTTTAATTCCCAGGCTTGGGCTCTAGGACTCTGTGAGGTGAGAGGGTCCCAGAACAGGGGCACCGGAACAGGGGGGCCAAGGGGCAATGGCCCTCCCACTTTTTGCCACAGTCCTGGTCTTCTGCCTCTCCTCTTTGGTCACCAAGGCAACACCCCCAGGCCAGAAGCCGGAGCCGGGTTGGGGTAAGAGCTGTGTGGGGAGCCACAGACCCTCCACCTGCCCTGGGTTGGGGGGGCCAGGGACATGGGCCGGGGGCTGCTCTTGTGTAGATGGAGCCAGGCTGGGGAGCACAGTCAGGTGGAGGAGCCTGGGCTCCCCGGCCTGGCTCCAGCTTCTGGCTTGGGTGGGACCTCAGGAGGAAGAGGACTACGGGGCAGGGATGGGGCCATGGAGGGGGTGGGACCTTATGGCCCCCGCACATTTAGGAAGAATCCATTGCCCCTGCCCTATCCCGAGTCCTGCAAGTCAGATGCCATGGGCCAATCACGGGTCTGTGCCACCCCGGGCTGCACCTGGGTCTGGTGGATAGAAAGCTGGCTCTGTTTTCGGGTTCAATGGGTAGTGATCACTGGATGATGGGATGGATTGCACCCTCAGCAAGTTTGCAGATGACATTAAGCTTGGGGGAGAGGTATATATGCTGGAGGGTAGGGCTAGGGTTCAGAGTGACCTAGACAAATTGGAGGATTGGGCCAAAAGAAATCTGATGAGGTTCAGCAAGGACAAGTGCAGAGTCCTGCACTTAGAATGGAAGAATCCCATGCACTGCTCCAGGCTGGGGACGGACTAGCTAAGCAGCAGTTCTGCAGAAAATGACCTGGGGATTACAGTGGATGAGAAGCTGGATGTGAGTCAGAAGTGTGCCCTTGTTGCCAAGAAGGCTAATGGCATATTGGGCTGCATTAGTTGGGGCATTGCCAGCAGATTGAGGGAAGTGATTATTACCCTCTATTCGTCATTGATGAGGCCTGTGTCCAGTTTTGGGCCCCCCACTACAGAAAGGATGTGGACAAATTGGAGAGTCCAGTGGAGGGCAATGAAAATGATCAGCAGACTGGGGCACATGATGAGAGGCTGAGGGAACTGGTCTTATTTCGTCTGCAGAAGAGAAGAGTGAGGGGGGATTTGATATCAGCCTTTAACTACCTGAAGGGGGGTCCAAAGAGGATGGAGCTTGACTGTTCTCAGTGGTGGCAGATGACAGAACAAGGAGCAATGGTCTCAAGTTGCAGGGGAGGAGGTCTTGGTTGGATATTAGAAAAAACTATTTCACTAGGAGGGTGGTGAAGCACTGGAATGGGTTACCTAGGGAGATGGTGGAATCTCCATCCTTAGAGGTTTTTAAGGTCAAGCTTGACAAAGCCCTGGCTGGGATGATTTAGTTGGGGTTGGTCCTGCTTTGAGCAGGGGGTTGGACTAGATGGCCTCCTGAGGTCTCTTCCAACTTTTTAGTCTTCTATGATTCTCTCTGCCCCCTGGCCAAGCCCCAGTGCACCTCTGGGTCTGTGCAGTCTCTGCTTCCCACCACCTGTGTGGCCCCACCTGTCTCGCTGGAGCTGAGCCACCTGGGACTGGTGCAGAAAACTGGCCAGTCTCAGCCAGTTGATGGGGGGCAGTGTGGGGGACATGGCTGGGCCCTTCCAGGCAAGTGGCTCCTGGAGGAGGCTGGCTGGGGCAGGCCCTGGTCTGGCTGAACATGCCACTCTCGGGGGGCCGGAGTGATTGTTCACCCCGGAACCAGCCCTGGCTGCACTGGCAGCTCATCCTGCCAGACACAGTTGCCTCCCATCAGGGCCGATGCGTGTGGCCAGGAGGCAGGGCATGGGGGAGTGGGTCTCTGGGCGACATGGGGGTGGGGTGCTGGGCGGTGAGGGAGCGGGGAAGATCTGTGTGTTGGAGCACTGTGGAGTGGGGGTTCTGTGTGGGGCGCTGGGCAGTTGTGGTGGGGCTGTGGGCAGGGGGGTGTTGGGTAGGACTGGTGGTGTGCAGGGCGCTGTGCATTTGTGGCAGGGTCTGCGGAGGGGGCACTGGGCGTAGCAGGTCTGAGGGGGCTCTGGCCATAGGAAATCAGAGGAGTGGGGGGTGGTCCGATGTTGGGCAAGGGTTTGTGTGGCACCTGGAGCAAATTGTAAAGTGGGGGTGCTGAGAGCCATTGAACCAAACTGTAAACTCTGTATGTGATGGAAACCACTTTAAGCCAGGGGGTGCGGCAGCTCCCCCAGCACCTCTAGTTCCAACACCTATGCCTTCGCTGCTCTGCCCCCTCCTCAGGCAGCCTCTGGGGATCCCTCCTGCCCTCCCACTCCTTTGTTCCTGGGCCTCTCCCCCCCCACTGCAGCGAGCCACGCCCCTGGGCTCCACTTCCCTCGGCTGGAGCCCGAGTCCGGGTTCTACTCCCGGTGCAGCACCCCAGGACTGTGGCTCAGTGCGCGCCCAGCGGCCGGGTCGGGGCAGCGATGGGGGCTCTGCAGCTGCCCCAGGAGGGGGACCGGCTGCTCTACTGGGGGGCTGGAGCCGTCACTCTGCTCTTCACGCTGCTGGCAGCCTTCACGTTCCGCCTGCTGCCGGGTTACCTGGGGAAGTGGAAGGCGCTGAAGCCGATTCCGGGGCTCAGCCCCTGTTACCCGCTGCTGGGAAATGCTCTGCTCTTCGAGCGCAAAGGGGAAGGTAACGGCCTCCCAGACACGTAGCGGGGGGTGCCTGCAAACCCCTCTTCCCTCCTGGAGCTGCTGCCTGCGGCACCCTCTCTCCCGGGTGACCGCAATGCCCTGGGGATCAGCCCCGGCAACAGGGCGTACAGCGGTGTAGACATTAGTAAAGTGCTCGGGAAGTGGCTGGCGATTTCCAGGGGCTGTAGAAATAGGAGCTGATTTGCAGCAGTGGAGCTGGACTGGTCCCATCACTAAGTGGTGGTGGTGTTGTAGAATAACAGAGTAGGAGCGAGCTGGTCTTAGGTTAAAGGATTTTTTCCAAGCTGCAGACAAAAACAAAACAGTTCATTACTCAGCATCCTGCTGCATTTCTAGATCCAGGCAAAACAGACAGGCCGTATTACCGAGACTCTACTTCTACCAACCAAACCTCCCCCAGAAACCTCTGACACCTCTTTATGGTTCAGCGTGTTGCTCCTGTTTATCCCTATTTCTAAGGAGCTTATTATTAGAATATGTAAATAAGCTCTTAACTGTGGACAAATGTTTTATTTTGATCTTTGTCAAGTTTTCCCTAATTTATTTGTTATTTTTTGTTTTGGGTGTTCAAGAAGTTAACTTTTTTCAGAGGCGACCTTTCCACACATTTAAGGTTTAAATATATATAATGGCCCATATCACCAGTACAAATTAAGATATACAGCAGAGATGGTTTGTCAAATGGACAGTCAGGTCAGTAAAACAATTAAAATGAGATAGACCTGAAACATCTACTTTCTCGGTTTATATGCTTAAAAACAACTGCCTAGATACATGTCTTAGAATCTCTTGCAAAAACAAAGGAGTCATACTAAATTGTTGGATAATTACAAATTTAGTTGCTTCCCTCATAGGCATAAGAGTTGTTTGCAAACAAACAGAAGCTGGGAATGGGTGACGGGATGGATCGCTTGAGGATTACCTGTTCTGTTCATTCCCTCTGGGGCACCTGGCATTGGGCACTGTCAAAAGACAGGATACTGGGCTAGATGGACCTTTGGTCTGACCCAGTATGGCCGTTCTTATGTTAACTCTGGAACTGTATGCAGGGTTTACCTCAAAACTTGTACAGGCAGACGTGCAATATCATGAGACCATTCATTACACTTGTGGGGTTTTCAAGACTAATCAGGCCTGGTGCTAGTTCCTTTTCTCCCATGAGCTTTTTTTCATACACCCACAATTATTATTATGTAATATTTTGTAGGGACCTGAAGGTACTGTGCCACTCTCTGCACAATGAGATTGTGAAAATATCAATATGCTTGTGATGTCTGTGAATTTTTTAGCTGTGCAAATATGCATTTTTGTTTGTGCAGTGTTCTATAGCTCAAATTGTTTAACAAAAGTGATCTTTCAGATAAGTAATACTTGCTTTGTAACCTCTAGTGGAATCAAGAAAATAATTATTTAATTTCTTTCTTTTTTAAGGGTAATTTAATTTCTTTAACTTCGATGCAGGTGGGTGGTGGTCGTGATGTGGAAGACAATACTGTAGGCCAGATACTTGCACACACTTAGGATAGTGACTCTCCAAATGGACACATATGTGCATTGCCAGAACCAGGATTAATATAACTCCAAGTTCTGTGGGCCCCAAACTACTCCCATAAGAAGGCAGTCTTTCTTGCTGACTTGAATGGGAGTAGGATCTGAACCAGAGTGCGAGAAGTTTCCACAATGCAAATTGTTTTTGAAAGACTTTTCAAAAGTTTTCACAGGAGTACTGTAAGGTTTTGGGGATCACTCAGACCATAAGGGGTTCTATCACTGCCTGCATTGTAACTTTGTGTGCCTTAATGCTATGCTATTATGGCTCAGAGCTCTGACACCAGTAGCCAGCCTACAGCCATAAAGATCTCACTCTGGCTTCTACCAGCCTAGTTACTCCTTGTAGGGTGACCTCAACAGCCCCTTCCAGTCTTGACTACCAGACACTTGGTCTTTTCCTCTCTGGTTTGTCAACTCCGAAGGAGTGAAACCTTCCCCCAGTGATCAGATCACTTTGGACACACATTCTATATAGTTTGCACAGCAGAGACCTGCTTGCGGCAAAAAATAACAAAAGCTTTATTTAATAGCAAAATCACAGATTCAAAGATGACATAGTAAGGCAGAGCAAATGCATACAAGTTACACAGAAAATAAACATAAAGCTGCAACTTCAGCCTTTACACTTCTATATTAGACAAATTACCTTTTCTAGTACAAGTTACGTACTGTTTCTAAACACTTGCCCAGCATGCTTCTGTTGTAGATGGGATCCAGTGTTTCATGGACAGCATCCTACTTTGATGCTGCCTAGTTTCTGAATAGCCTTCCCTTCAAACCCCTTTCCTTTTAATAGGGTTTTCAGGGGTTTTTTCTTCTTCTTTTTCTCAGACTATGGTGATTCATGGTGGGGGAAATTCCCTCCTTTCTTAATTTCTCAAGACTGGGGTTTTCTTTTCAGTTTCAAGTTGTTTCATTGTGTCCCCATTCATTTTAATGGCCCATCCGATGTCTCTTCCTGACTTGTAGGATGCGAAGTGTTTGGAGCCAGTCTCATCTTGTGGGGAAGGCAGCCCCTTTTTGCCTGGCTGATCACCTCCCTGTTGTGAGGTGGAGCTGAATGTTGTAGCACAAATTATGAACACATTTTATAGCTATACAAATCCACAAATTCATAACCACAATCTGTATACATATCTTATAATTAAGGCTATGATTTAATCATAGGTATTTTTAGTAAAAGTCATGGATAGGTCATGGGCAAGAAACAAAAAATCACAGCCTGTGACCTGTCCATGAGTTACACCATAAATACTCCTGATTTAATCCTATGGGACGAAGGGTTCCATGGAGGGGGGGTGCCCACAGCACCAGCTATGCAAGGAGTGTGTGAGCCCCTGGCCCCAGATGCTGGGGGGAGGGAGCCTCGGGGGCCAGTGACTGCTCTGGCCCACCCGGGACCACTTCCAGGAGCCACCAAGCTGTGGCGGCTCCCACTGCCCTTGGGACTGCTGCTCAGGTGGTCTCCAGGGCCAGCTGCCCAGGGCCGCCAAAGCAATGGCTGGTGCGTACGGCCCCAGGGCTGGGACTGCTCCAGCAGCGTCCGGTGTGGCTGTCCCCAGGGCTGCCTGAGCCCTAGGGACAGCCACACTGGCTGCTGCGGAAGTCACAGAGGTCACAAGAAGTCACAGAGCCCTATTCATAATGACCACCAAATTCAGAATGTTACACGCTTTCATAAAAGAGCTTACTTGACATGACAGTCTGTTTATACACAATGACATTCCATACAGCCGGTTGATTCAGTTACTTACCCTGATTATCACAACTACTCTGTGTCAGTTTGAGGGTAACTGCACCTGTACTTCCCTCCCTCCCTACTCGGTCACCCACTATGGTCTGGTCCACTTCAGGAGTTCCCAGTTAGGTCTCAGGTCTGCAGCCATCACCTGTGTCTGGGCAGGGTCCCTTATCCCATTTCCTTCTGACTGGAGGTTTTAAGGCTATAGAGCTCCCTTCCTTACACTGATATCTTCAGCACGCCAATGTGCATAAAGGCTAGTGCCTGTGCTTTGCTTTCTCTCCAAGGGCTATCAACAGTGTAAGGTAGGAAGCTACGTGGTTTTCTGTGAAAATGTAAAGGACCTAGAATCTGGTTGGGGAAGAACTGATGCTCACCTTGACTCAGTGTATGGGAATCAATACTCATTCCCCTTGCTGAGATTAGGTCAAATTTTAGGTCCTCATGCTTCAGTCTCTGAGGCTCAGAGAAAAGAATTTGGCTATGGGGGAGGTTTGAAGAATTTCCTTTGCCCTCCCCTGCCACCTTCCACTGTTAAAATAATGATTAAGATTTGCTTTCCAGGGAGCCAGCCCTGCCTTCTTTCTCCATTTTGTCCAAAAACATGCTTCATGGAATATACCAAAGGGGGATGAGGAAACTTCACCCACCTTCAGGGCAGCCAAAAGGGCACCACACACATTCCCTAGGAGCCAGATGGGAGATGGGTGTGGGAGCACCAGGGTATCAAACTCACACCCAAAAATATTGGAATGACAAGGGTAAGAGAAGGTGATTGACAACCCTCTACAGGCCGAAAGAGAGATATTACACAGGACATTTGTCAAACGACTCTATATGAAATTTTGAATGATGTGTGCTCGATTGTTAGAATATTTATTATACGAATAGTTAAAATGTGAAATTATGAAAGGTAATGGAAGAAAATTCTCCATGAGTGCCCTTAGGATGTCGGTTGGAAACCCTAGGGACACCCATTTATTTCTAGGGGAGACATGACAGATAATGACAGGTTTCAGAGTAGCAGCTGTGTTAGTCTGTATCCGCAAAAAGAAAAGGAGTACTTGTGGCACGTTAGAGACTAACCAATTTATTTGAGCATAAGCTTTCATGAGCTACAGCTCACTTCATCGAATGCCACAAGTCCTCCTTTTCTTTATGACAGATAATGTAACCACATGTAGTATATTTGGGGGGATGAATTGTATTAAGTTTATGTATCACTGTGGGCCAGGAATCGTATGTATGATTGTATTCTACTCCACAAGGGAGGTTTACCATTGCTCCTTCAGAAACTAGATCAGAAGGAGGTGATTAAGGTGAAACACTGAGATTAAACAACTCTAAAGAGGTGCCACCCTCTGGAGTGGTTTTCATATACTGGTTTGCAGTTGGGTTTTCCAGAGATTAGGGTACAAAGAAAAGTCTTTTGGTATAAAAGGATGAACTTGAACTGACAAAGGACCTTTTTTCTGATACAGCAAACAGACTGCACCTTCTTTCCAAGGAGGGCCACCAACCCTTGCAGAAGGGTTGGAAAGACTCTGGCCTACTAGGGCCCCATAAGACTAATGCATGACCACTGGTAAGCTTCTGGCATGCATATAGGAACTTTATTTTTTTTTTGTTTTCTCTATAATGCTTTTTCCTTAGGAATAAAAGTGCTTGCTTCGAAAGAGCTGTATGATAACTTGTACCTGCTGGGAATACATTATTCATAGCCCTTGGAGAAAAAGGCACTGGCTGTTAGGCAGACTGGATTTCTTTGAACATCACAGTGTGAGGCAGGGAGCTGTGCAACCTTAAAGCCCCTGGTCAGAATGGAGTGGGCCACGGGTCCCTACCCAGAGAGAGGTGACAGCGAAGGTCCTGAGACCTGACTGGGCGAGCTTGAAATTTACCACAAAGGGGGCGATACAGATGCAATTATCCTGAAACTGATACTTTGCACAGAGGGCTTTTTTGTACAGCCATTGCACTGTCAGGGAGCATACACCCTCTTTAACAGGAGTCATAGGACCTCAATTCCCTGGCTACACCCAGTAACATCCCTGTCTGATCCTGTGCAATCCAAAGTTGTAATTTAGTCTTGGCAACTATTTGTTTAAATTATGATAATATGAAAATATATTGTTTCTGATTTTATTTGACTGTGCACCACCCAGTATATTTTATAGATCAGGGTTGGGCTTGAAAACACCCACCACCTACTAGCTCAAGGACTATACTACTCTGCAAGCTACAGTATAGTGGTACACTGAGCTGCAAACCCACCCTTGCTGGCTCTCCTGATGATTCAGTATATCTCACTTCTTGGGTCTGAAGACACTGGTCTACTGTTGGCTGAACTCTGAGCCTCCAGCTAATGCTGCCACCACTGTACACAGCACGGCAATCTGTTAATATAAGGCCCCATGCCCAATCTATTAATGCTGGTCCCCACTCCTCAAATAAAACAATGCACGCCTGCCATGACAAACTGGTGCTGGACAACCTGCCTTCTAATAAATCAATGTTTGCTCGCCTCACAGTGACAGTCCTCTACTGGGGTGGCAGAGGGAGACCATGGTGCGTGCATATCTGCAGGTTGAAGCCCCTTTTCTGCCTCCTTCTCTCGTTGAGGTTCTGGCTGGACTATTCCACTCTTTTTAAAAATTTATTCACATCCTATTTGTGGCCCCCACAAAGTCTTGGGGTCTCCTCCTAGCCCCGACCAAAATGGCTATTTATCAGTTGAGGAGGAGGAGGAGGTTGGAATGGGAACATTCTTTGTGATTGTGACCATGGTGCCCATTTCTGATCACTTATTTGTTTACGTCTCTGGGCAGAGTTCCTCAGGATGGGGTCTATTAGCTCCAATTTGTCCACATCTTTCCTGAAATGTGGTGCCCAGGACTGGACACGATACTCCAGTTAAGGCCTAATCAGTGTGGAGTAGAGCAGAATAATTACTTTTTGTCTTGCTTATAGCACTTTTGCTAGTGCAGCCCAGAATGATTTTTTTCTTTACAGTGTTGACTCACATTTAGCTTGTGATCTACTATGACCCCTAGATCCCTTTCTGCAGTACTCTTTCCTAGGCAGTCATTTCCCATTTTGTATGTGTGCAACTGATTCTTCCTTCCTGAATCGAGTACTCTGCATTTGTCCTTATTGAATTTCATCCTATTTACTTCAGACCATTTCTCCAGTTTGTCAAGATTATTTTGAATTTGAATCCTATCCTCCAAAGCACTTGCAACCCCTCCCAGCTTGCTATCATCCACAAATTTTGTAAGTGTACTCTCTATGCGGTTATCTAAATCATTGATAAAGATATGGAACAGAACTGGACCCAGAACTATCCTTGCAGGACCTCACTTGATATGCTGTTCCAGCTTGACTATGAACCACTGATAACTACTCTCTAGGAACAGTTTTCTAACCAGTTAAGCACCCACCTTATAACTTCCCCCCATCCACAAGACTCGTTACTCTGAAAGAAAGCAGTTAAGTTGGTTTGACATGATTTGTTCTTGACAAATCCATGCTGACTGTTACTTATAACCTTCTTATCTTTTAGGTGTCTGCAAACTGATTGCTTAAATATTTGCTCCATTATCTTTCTGGATACTGAAAAGGATATATCCTTTCTGTTTAGATTAGGGTGACCAGACAGTGAAAAATTGGAACAGGGTGTGTGTGTGTGGGGGGGGGGGGGTGTAATAGGAGCCTATATAAGAAAAAGATCCAAAAATTGGGACTGTCCCTATAAAATCGGGACATCTGGGCACCCTAGTAGATTGCAAGCAGGGGAGGAGGGTGGCTCTTTCTTTGTGTCTGTAGAGTGCTTTTCAGATTAAGGCCATGATTTCTGTTTGGATCCCTAAGTGCTACGGTAATCAAAATAATAAATAAGTGCAAAACAAACCAGCTTTGTTACAGTAACAAATATAATGCTACAGTGAATTTATAATCAGTTAATCACAGAAGTCCTGGTTTGGGCCCATTCAAACAGATTTTCTTTTCCAGATTTCTTTAAACAAATGATGCAATACTATAATGATTTCAGGAATCAACCACTGTTAAAACTTTGGTTTGGACCATTGCCTTTTCTGTTTTTATATCATCCAGATACTGTTGAGGTGAGTATTTTGATCTCATTTTTAATAAATCTGTTTGTACAAGTCATGCAATTGTAGCACAAAACATGTCAGAAATTTTACATTCCCTCAGTGTAATTTATAAATCAGGAACGTCAAAATATTTGAACTGATGTAATTTCAAGGTTCAAGGGCAACAATTTGTGAACCAGTGCTAATAAAGTTTCAATATAAAGAGCAAATTGCCAAGGAAAATTTCAGTATAAAAATTTAAGAAATGACTGATTATTTTTTCAACTTTATTTGAAGTTTTTGCCATGAATGAGTCTCTCTTTCCCCTTTATTTCTATGTGCACTGTATGTGCCGCTGATGACAACTGAAGCTTACGTACACATCAGTGGACAACAGGACCCCTAAAATGTAAATTGCAATACTGATATAATCTTGTTTCATTTTTTTTAAATTAACCCGTTTTCTCTTCACTTGAGTGAGCAAATATGGGCACATCCAGGGATTTAATTAATCATTATAGTTATTCCCTAATTTGAAATTTTAAGTTGCTTTATCTCCAGAATTTACAGAAAAGATTGAAAATAGCTGGTCATTCACCACTGACACCAGTCTTCAAAACTTCTTGATGGCCCTAGAGCCTAGGCTTCATGCTGGTCTCCCTGCTCCCTTTTACACAGGGGCATTATAACTCTAAGTGTAACCCACACACCTCGTGGGTGTAACCCACAAACCTCCCATCTAGTGGCACCGAGATCACTTAAAGAGAGAGATTTATTACCGGGGTCTGTCAGTGTTACAAGTGGGGGCTTGTCCAGGATTTCAACTGGGAAGTATCTGACATTTGGGATGCGCTTCCTCAGCTAGGGGAAGTATGTAACCCACACACCTCCTGGGTGTGGTGCTCCATCCCATGTAGTGGCACCAAGACCACTTAAAGAGAGAGTTAAAATGAGTCTGCTCTACAGCCTTAGCTAAGAGCTGTATGGCTTTTAGCTCATGCAGTAGAAGCTCATACAGTAAGCTCCAAAGGTCTCAGATTTGATCCCGCCTGCCGCCGAGCGTGGTCTGTCGGTGTTACATAGGCACGTAGGGGAGCACAGGGACTGCATGCCAGATGCTCCTCCGAGGAGTATGTTGCATGAGCTAAAGGGATGACACAAATCACTCCCTGTCAGTCCAACTGTGACACAATACCCCTGGTGTTCTCACTGCAGGGGTGTGAGTACCAATCCCCTTTACTATGGCAGCGTGCAAATAGTGCAGTCTAGCCCTGAATGGTTTGTAGTCTGCTCGGAGATAAATGCAGAAATTCTTGTTCTGTGCCTTTACATTGATTGAAAATACTTCTGTGATTCTCGACTAAGTGAGAGGAAATGTTTATCCAGGTTTTGGACTGTGGAAAACCTTGAACTTCACTTTGCATGATCAACATAACAGGTTCTGAATGCAGATACTGTGTTAAGGATCCACTAATTTTCAGACATTAGTGTAGTGCTATCATCTTCATGGTACAGTTTTTCTTATTAGCAAGTGATATATGGGTGAGATAAATGTTATAGCATTTATTTAATAAAGTGCAAAGAATACAAAGAAATCTCTCTACAGGACTTGATATTGGACAGTCTATCTCAGCGGTTCTCAACAGGGGGTCTGTGAACCCTTTCAAGAGGGCTGTGCTGCCCCATGGCTAAAACCCAGAGTCAGAGCCTCAGCACATCCCGCAGGTCTGAAGCCAGGACCTGAGGGGTTGAAGCCTTGATCCCCAGTGCCCTCTACGGGGCTGAAGCCAGGAGCAGCAGGGCTGAATCCCAGAGCTCCATGCCCTGGTGCTCCCCATGGGGCAGAAGCCCTGAGCCTCTGGGTAGAGTTGGGAGGCAAAGGGGTGTTGCCCCTCCCTCTCCCCCCCCGAAACTACACTGCAAGAGCAGGGCAGTCCTGGGGCAGCTTCACCCCCGCCACACACCTCCTTCTGTCCTTGTCACCTGGCCAGGTCGGAGGCGGGAAGCCGGAGCCGGGCAATACGGGACAGCTGCTGCTCTGGCTGGTGCCATGAAGCAGGCAGCTGCAGTGTTCCCTCATCGCCTGCTGGTGGTGGTGCAGGGGTTGAAGCTCCTTTGCTCCCAGCCCGCTTTGCTCTCAGGGAACAGAGACTGTAGGGGAGCCCTCCTCGCACACAACCCCTAGCTACCTCCCTGACTGCACCCTGAGCTACTCCCCTGCCTGCACTAGAAGCCACTCTTGCAATTTTGCAGTTACATTAATGACAATCCAGCCAAAAAACGGGACTAACATTTCATTCCTCTGACCTTTTAACTGATATTACAATATATGTTCACGTCCAATTTTTTAAATTTTGTACTATAATAATTATTTCAAAATGAAAAACTGAAATATTACTCTCCAAAATGTCAAAACAAGACATTGTCAGAACTTGTTTAATACATTTTCCCTTCCAGAATAATATTTCAATGAAATCCACATGATTTTCTGAAGCATTTCAATTGTGATGGAACTGCAGTTTTGAACAGAAAATGGTTCTGTCAAAGTTTTCAGACTAGCTTTATTGACTGAGTCATGTGTGTCATAGTTTTGGCCATACCTTGCAAATGTCCTCTTGCAAAATAGAATGAGTAAACAATTTTACTAACTTCATCTAACGAGAGATTTCCCCTCCATCTTTTCTTCTTTTGGTAGGTTATTCTAAGCAGTTCAAAGCACATGGAAAAATCCTATCTATACAAATTTCTGCAACCATGGCTTGGCACAGGACTTCTAACAAGGTATAGTAATATACAAATAGAGTCATGTCCCTTTAAAGTTATGCAAAGTTGAATTTTAAGTTATAATGTATATGGACTGCCTTAAAACTATAATGTTACATTTTATTTGCAAATAGGCAGAATAACTCAGTTATGATATAAATATTTGAATAAAAAGTACAGATGCCCAAAGAGCCATGTGTGGCCTGTAGTGTTCTAAAATGGGGTCTCTCTGCCACTATCAAGAGCCTAGAAAAAACCACAGTTCTTGAAAAGGTCATGTGATGTGAAGAATGTGAATGGGACGTTAGAGCAAATGATGTAGCAAGACCTCACTCAAATGCACAGAGCTCGAGTTTTCATAATTTTGATAGAAAAAACTTTCAGTTCTTCAACAAAAGAATATCAGCCAATTATAATCTAGGAAAATCAATTAGTATCCCCACACAAATGACACAAATACTCTTAGTGATTTAGCTCCCAGCTGTGCTCAGACTCACCTTCATGAACTTCAATGGGAGCCATGTGCCTCTAAGAGCAGAACTCAGCTCTGTTTGCACCCCTCAGGAAGGGGCTGCTGGGCCAAACCCGAGCAGTGCTGCACCCCCATGATTGGGTCGCAATGCCACTTACTGACATTTTATTTTTATTAGTTGTCTGTTTTGCTGCTAAATGTAAGCTAAAAAAGTGAATATGTAGACACCATGCTAAGTTCAAGTGAGAGTAATTCAGTGGTGCATACCGTGCAAAGAACTTCTAGGGGCACACCTGCTGGTTACTGCCTTAGATTAAAGGATTCATATTTAAAACTGATGCAGCTGAACTAACCTTCCTAGCTATAACGCTCAAGATCTATGACACTGAAAACCCCTAGAAAGCCTCTCAACAATTTTTTTTATATTTTATCAGAGGTAATTCATGCCCAGAATGAGTGTGGACTATACCCCTTGTTTACTGCTAATTGATCATAAGAGATTGTCCTATCTACATGTGCAATCTAAGGGGTAATACATACTACCTCCTGGAAAGTGCTGTTTCATAAATTGGCTCATCGTCTTATGATCATGAGCCAAATTCCCTTATTTCCATTGAAGTCAGTGGGGTCCAAGTCAACACTGTATATGGTATAATTTCTCAATATGGTTCCATACATGAACAATATTAATCAGCAAAAACTCCCACAGTATTTGAAAGTAAATGTTTGTAAGTGGCATTGTTAACTGACTGTATTTTGGTAAAAAGAAAAGGAGTACTTGTGGCACCTTAGAGACTAACCAATTTATTTGAGCATGAGCATGAGTCTCTAAGGTGCCACAAGTACTCCTTTTCTTTTTGCGAATACAGACTAACACGGCTGTTACTCTGAAACCTGTATTTTGGTAGAGATCAACTGTCATTTCAAAACAAAAAACATCAAAATATTTCATTCTGAGAGTGTCAAAACGGAACATTTCAGCTAGGTCAGAACTTTCCCCCCCAGTTTTATTTTGAAACAAAACTCTGGTGAAATCCACCCAGTTTTGCAAATTGTTTCAATTTTGACAGAACTGCAGATTCTGACAGAATATGGTTTTGTCAAAACTTCTTGATTTAGGACCCTTTAGCAGAATCCTGGTTGCTTGGAAATGAGCTCTTTGCCACAGGATAAGAACTCTTTTCCCCGTCCAGAGGTTCTCTGAGAGCCCATTACCCACCTTGCTGATGGCCGCTCTGATCCTCCAGTGGTCCATCTCTTCCTGTGATTTGACCCTCTGGCCAGGTCACAATTTAAGACCACCCCTTCCCAGGTAACAAAGTCCTACAGATAAACCCAATGCCCTCATAACAAGGCCTTCAGCTCCACCCCTGGGCCCTGTTATCCTCACACCTTTCTCTCAGGGCTCTGTAATCCTTGTCTCCTTCTCTGGCTTCATGTCCATTATCTTTGGCCCCAGCAGAGGACACAGACATGGCGGGGTGGGGGAGTGTGGGGGAGCTGATTTAAACACATGCCTGCTGTGATGGCTTCCTTGTTCTGGCAGCAAACAAGAAATCGAAACTGAAGTGAGGCTCAGCACTGGGAAGGACGAGTGCAGAGCACCCAAATATTTAAAGGAACAGGACATCGCAATGCCACCTTCCGCAGTGCCTGATAGGGGAACCCAGGCCCTCCCACTACAGTAGGGTTCCATCCCAGGGATCCTATAATCAGTCACCAAGGTCTGCTCCTTCAGACTACTTGCTTCCGTTTCCTTGGGCTTCTTGTAACTATGACTGTTCTTAGGCCTTCTCCCAGCTAACCTTTCTCCCTTTTTTACCACTGGAGCCTGCTCCACTCCCAGTGGTTGCTTCATCTCTCTTGGCTGCTTGCCAGCCTTCTCCACTGATGCAAAGGTCTCAGGGCTAACTTTCCCACCGCCTGGTTTCCCCCTCACAATCTCTGTATTCCCAGAGAGTGACTGCAGACTCTCTCCCAGCAGTCCCCTTCTGCTTTAAACGTCTTTCTTTATGGTAAGCACCCACTCCTCCCTATCTGGGCTTCTTTATCAATTATGCCTGGCCCAATCTCCAGGTTGGATGGTTGGCCTCTCAGGCCCAGGTTAATCCTTTCCGGGTCTGTGTAGGGTACATACCCCATCACACTTCCCAAGTGTCACTAGAGGAATTGTGGGTGCAAATGAAGTTCTTCTATGAGAGCACTCCCCCAACTGCACTTTTCACCGACAGACAGAGTGAAGAGCTCTTTGCTCTCTGGAGTTTCTGTCCATAGGGCTTAGATTAGGAAGAGTGTGGCTTGATCAAAATGTTGCTGGGACATGGAACAGTCTATCAAAGGGAACACATTAAGGTGAAAGCATTTAAGGCTGATATTTCTGAGAACTCATACCCATTTGCCTCATTGTTTCTTTGTGTTCCCCCATCTATCTGTCTCCATTGATTCTCTCTTGTCTTATGTGTAGATTGTAAGATCCTTGGGGCAGGGACCATCTTTTTGTTCTGCCTTTGGACAGTACCTAGAACAATGATCTATAAATAGGGCTCCTTGGCACTATGAAAATATTGCTAGTAATAATAATAATAATTAATAGTCAGAGGACAGTGGCTCTGGAACACTTTTTTAACTGTGGGGGTGCTGATAGCCAGCTCTCTTACCCCTGTCTGCCTCCTCTCCACAGAGCTAGGGCTGGGAGCAGGGCCGTGTCTCTGAGAGGTGGGGACCCAGACAGGAGTAAAGGGGCCAATGCTGGGCCCACAGCTGGGGGCGGATGCGGGGCCAGCAGCAGAGGAGCCCTGGGCGCGGAGCCGGGAGCCTGCATGTGGGGCTGGCAGCCAGACCCCGCGTGGGGGGCCAGAAGCGAAGCCCCGAGTGTGGGGCTGGAACCCCGCACGCGGGGATAGAAGCAGAGCTCTGCATAAAACCTGCTGCAGCACCCCCTGCACCTCTAGTTCCCGTGCATATGTCAGAGGGTCCATTTCTTTTGATACTATCAGGTGACCGTACAAACACTTAACAGACACTATATATTCCTCAACAAATATACAGCTTCAGTGCATATACATAATAATAATCACTTATCTCTTATGTGTTGATTTTCAAGTGCCTTTACAAAGGAGGATACATTTTATTATCCTCATTTTACAGACTAGGAAACTGAGATACAGAGAGATGGTGTGACTTTCCCAAGGTCATGTAGCAGGTCAGTGGCCAACCCCGGAACAGAATCCATTGCTCCTGTCTCCTGGCCCAAAGTGCTGAATAACACTGCCTACCTTCAGGTTTGAAGAGTGGCTTAGATTCAGAGCAGCTGGCACCAAACGGGCAGCTCATTCTCAACCTCTGGCACCCAAATTCAGGACAACAGTGCACACGTGCACACTTGGGGGATGGAGCGGTAGGAATCCTCCCCATGCCTTTGGAGCTGCAGAGCAGCTCCTTAGCTAATATGGTAGCATTGCATTCATTATTAATAAGGCCCTGTGTACTTTGCAGCAAACTAGGCCTACCTTCTGAACGAGGTGTCTGAATTCAGTCAGACTTTGGTGCCCTGCCCTGAAGAGCTTGCAGTGTCTACACTTCAAACTGTAGGTGTAAATTCTAGCTTGAGGAGGCATACCCAAGCTATTTCAAGTGTAGCCCCAGTGTTTCTGAGCGATGGGAGGGGCTAGCTGCACCAACTATGTATCCATCCAAGATGCTAGGTACATACCTGGGGTGGCTAGTATGGCCTGTGGAGCTAGCTTTAGCATTTTATTGTACTCAGAAGTTACACAAAGGAATCTACAGGCCTGTATCCTGTAAGACATTAGCTTAAACAGTTAGCATAAGGCTTTGAAGCCTGTGAACTCTGGCACAGATCACCCTGAGTTTTGGGGAACTGGGAAAGGTGTGTTTAAAGGGGAAGTTTATACCAGGTAACCACAAGAACATTGAATTGATACTAGGTTTTGATATTTTAGGATAAAATGTTGGCAAATGTTTAACTACGAACTTGCCTTGGCAATGAATTGACGTAGATGATAAATAGTTGAAATCATTAATATACTAACCTACAGGATAAAGATACCCCAACATTATTAAGGTGAGGAAATTACATATGGACAAGGGAGGCTGGGCATTTGAATGAATATTCGCGACCGCCTCTAGGCTCTATAGCCAGAGGCCAGACCACCATGTAAGAGGGAGATCTGGACCATCGGACAAGTTTGGCACGTCAGGGACAGGGCTGGACCTTTGTCTCTTACCACAAAATTCCCAAGGAAGGTTATGAATATATGAATATATAGGTGAAGAATGGGTGCAGGATATTACCTTAAGTCTGAATTTTTGCTATCTTTTTATGTGGTTTGAAGCTTTTCTGTCTTTACTAATTGTGCTAATAAAAGTGGTTAAAGTTTTGCTCTGACCTTAGTGTGAGTGTCTCTGTTGTGCACATTGGGATTCCCAACCAGATGTTGAACCTTGATTCTGTTGTGCCTGACTCTGGGACTAGAACGCTACAGTCCCCCAGCTCTTTAAATCAGAATTAATTGGAAATCAATAATAATCAATAACCACTAAAGAATCAGGCAACACTAGCCACTTGCACTCTCATGGCTACGCTATTTTTATTGTGGTAGCTTGATCAGAGCTAGTGTGGGTTTATCTCCTTGAGATGGAATTCATACCTCCAGCTCAACGTGCAGCATACCCTGCATGGACAAGACAGGCACAGGGAAATGGATATCTCACACCCAATCAAGTTAATTCCATATTTTTGGGTGAGTGTGTGTGGGGGGGATGGTAGTGGTGGTTAATGATATATGTGCTAAATGGGAAGATAAGAGAAGGGAGAAAGGTGAGGGGAAGAGGGGAAGAAGGAACATGAGAGGCAGATGTGGCGTGAGGTTGAAGTGAAGAGACAGTGAGAAGAGGAGGAGATGATTGGAGCAAAAGGCTGGTCAGCACAGGTCAGAGAAAGTCCAGTCAAAGCTGTGGAAAATAGTATCAGTGTTATGGATCTCTGTTTAAACTGCTTCTGCAGGTGCTCTGCCGGATTCATTCTTTGGCTGGTTCCTTCCTGCAGTTTCTTTCTCAGAGGACAGGTGGCTGGAGGGTGGGGAGACACCATTAGTCCTGGTGACCCCAAAATTAGGGAGGTATCTCTCTTACACAATTCTACATCTGGAGAGTTCTTGGGTTACTGGGTGAGGGAGGAGCCTGGACAGGCCCCATTTCCCCTCTCTCCATACTACTGTGCATAGAATCAGAGAAATGTAGGGCTCAAAGTGACCTCAAGAGGTCATCTAGCCCTTCCTCCTACACTGAGGAAGGATTAAATATATCTAGGCACTGTCCCTGACAGGTGTTCATCTACTTAAAAACCTCCAGTGATGGGGATTCAACAACCCCCCTAGGTAACCTATTCCCTACTTAATTATCCTTATAGCTAGAAAGCTTTTTGCTAATATCCAGTCTAAATCTCCTTTTCTGCAAACTAAGCTGATGACTTCTTGTCTGACCCTTGGTGGATATGGAGGAAACTTGATCACTATCCTTATTATAACAACCTATTACATATTTGAAGACTGTTATTAAGTCCTCCCTTAACCTTTTCTTCTCTAGTCTAAACATGGCCAGTTCTTTCAACCTTTCTGCATAGATCATGCTTCTAAACACTTTATCATTTTTTGTTGCTCTTCTCTGGGGTCTCTACAATTTGTCCACATTTTTCCTAATGTGTAGTGCCCAAAACTGGACACAGTGCTCCAGCTGAGGCCTCACCAATGCCAAGTAGAGCAGAACAATTATTTCCCATGTCTTACATATGACACTTGTTAATAAATCCCAGAATGACATTTGCCTCTTTTGTGACAGTACTTGCTTACACTGCTTTTGCAAGCACCTGTCTAACATGTATCTGCCATTTCAGATATTTAAAAAAATTTTTTTTTTGGTGTTTTAGAAAGTCGGAATGAACTAACACTGTGGCTGGATCACATAGTATGAGAATGATCTCATAGCAATGCTGTCTTCCTGATTTCCACGATAGAAAAGAGAGGGCCAGGGTCAAGGAAATGCTGTTTAGGGTCACTTAAAAATTGGAAGGAAGTTTAGGGGCTTCTGGGAGCTCTCCTGCTAAAAACAGGAATGTTCTGTACTGATGTTATCTGAGACACAGCCTAGGTCTACTCTTAAGATTGCAAAATTAGCAGACGGGCTGCTGAATAGCTAAATGGAGAAGGCCCACTGGCTCCTTTGGCTAGCCAGCTGTTATGATGAGACAAGATCAAGCACATCCATACCTCAAACTCCAGCAAGGAGGGGACTGGAGAAGCATCATTAGGCACTCTAGCACATGGGGCAATGGAGTAGACCTGGTCCACCCCAGAGTGAGCTGGATGGCTGGGGAGGCTGGGATCAAGTATCCCAAAAGAGCTCTGTGGGAAGAGGGGAAACTATCTGGACTCACTGCAATGGAAACAGCTACTTGTGTGCTGATTCTTTCTACAGACAGCGCTGTTTGGGGGCACCCTGCTCCCTGCACGGGGGAGGGACCACAGAAACATATACTTGCCCAGAATCTGTCTCACCACCTTAACAGCTCTGTGAGAGATGAATCCTCTTCTCTGAGTAATGGTTGGTAGATGATACTGATACAAAAAACTAGATCCATATTAGGCTATAACTATCCCTAACCCTCACTTTTCTACATAGGGGAAAAATGAGGGCAGCCACCATTTACGATTATCAGTGAAGACAAGCTTAGCCAGGGCTGGGATACTAAATATTTAACAAGGGCTTTTTATTTACCCTTCTCCTCACCCACTTCCACCCCAAGTGCCTAACTTTGTTCACAGTATTTATCTTGCAGCAGCTACAGTTAGCACCAAGCTGTTAGTAGCACTGTATGATTAGAAGAGTTTTGTAGCAAAATGTACTTCCACTTTGCCCCTTATGGTGATTGGTGCTGGCTGCAACTACTGACATTAATTTATGTATTAAAATGTTACAAATCATTAGAGCTAGTTATCAATGTCGTTAATGAAGATGGGTTGACAGAGAGACTACATTGGCCATTGGCAACCTTCTCAAATATTAGCTTTAAGAACCTGTCTACAAGATGTAGCTACTCAAGCGTTTTATTATTACCTTTTTGATGAGTTGTTTATACTGTGCTTAATTTCCAACGCTTTACTTTGTAGCACTGGGGATAAGTGGCGTTCCAGAAGGAAAATGATAACTCCCACATTCCACTTCACAATCTTAGCTGATTTTCTAGAAGTTATGAATGAACAAGCCACTATTTTGGTTGATAAACTTGAAAAGCACGTTGACAAAGAGCCATTTGATTGCTTTCTAGACATCACTCTCTGTGCCCTGGATATAATCTGTGGTAAGTCCTGGTGATGATTCAGCAGTTGCTATAAAAGTGCTGTAAATGATAAGGAGACTTAAAGGTACAGCAGTTACAATGCTGCAATTTCATTAGTTGAGATAACTGACAAAAAGGCCCTGCCTGTCTTGTAACAATACTTCTGCATTATCTACACTGAATGCGTCTTTTCTATTTTAATTATTTTTGTATTTGTCTGAACAATCAAATATTGTGTTATGAGAATCCTTTGTCCATGGGGTAAAACAGGGACATGGAATCTAAACTGAGGGAGAATGAAAGGAATAGGGATATTAGGACTAGACTCACAAAGAGAGTACATATTCTATAAAAAGAGAAATGCCATGAGATGAGGATGTAAATGGCTGCAATGCTTTCATGCAACACCTGGCCGTATGTTGTCAATGAATTTGACTTTTCACCCAGTTAACTTTAGTAAATTTATCTTTTCTCTTTTTCTAGAAACTGCGATGGGCAAGAATGTCAGTGCACAGAACAATAAGGATTCTGAATATGTCCGTGCTGTTTATAAGTAGGTGTAGACCTGTACAAAGGCATTCTGTGCCACCTTGGTCCTCCCTTGCTTATCTGTGGGGCTGAGGGAGGCTGTATATGGAGGTAGGGTGTCAGGACGATGGTAGAACCTATGGAAGCTGTCCATGCACAGAGGAAACCTCTATAATGGCTGCACAAGGCCAGCTGCTCCAACCTGTGAACAGGTTTCAGTTGCAGTTCAGTCTCTCTATGGCTAATGTTGGCTGGAATAGCCGCCATGGCTCTTTTGAGCCTTCTCTGGAGGGTGGGACATTGAATCCACATAGCACATTGGGCCCAATTCACTGTTGGTTTGCACCTTGTCCAATCATTCCCACTGGTGCAAAGTGGGAGTGAAATGCTATCTGATTAGAATGGTAATGTTTTGCACCCAGGATGCAGTACTGTAAAAAAACCAGAAAAATCAACCAGACCAAAAAACAAACAAACAAAAAAAACCGTACGCAAGATGCAGTGCTACAGTGCATGACTTCAATGGAGTTGCATGTTGCATATATATCAACATAAAATATGGCCTAATTTGGAGTTAAAGTACCTGATTCTCATTTGCACCAAAGTCCGTTTATACTACTCTAGTAGCATAAAGTGGGTGCATCTTTAATTTACTCTTGCTTCAAGGTTCCTTTATGCTGCCAGAGATAAATGAGTATCAGACCCTAAAAGGTTGTATAAGATTATATTTGAACAACCCTCAGTCACATGATAGCTATGAGCCACCAATGTAATGTGTCTGCGGAAAAAGGCAACTCAAATACTAGTTTATATTGGGCAAGGCATTTCTACTAGAGATAGAGAAGTGTTGATGCTATTGTACAAGGCACTGGTAAGATCTCATTTGGAATAGTGTGTACAGTTCTGTTCATCTATGTTCAAGAAAGATGAATTCAAACTGGAACAGGTGCAGAGAAGAGCTAATGGGATGATCAATGGAGTGGAGAGTCTATCTTCTATGAGAGGAGACTGGAAGAGTTGTCTTGTTTAACTTAGCAAAAAGAAGGCTCAGAGAGGATATGATTGGTCTCCTTACTCTGAAGCATCGGAGATGGCCACAGCTAGAGATGGGCTATTGGACGGGGAGGGCCAGTGCTTTGAGGTGGCACTAAGCATTCTCTCTCGCAGGTGCTTGGCTGGATAGTTTTTGCTCACATGCTAAGGTCACATATATGAGGTCAGCAAGGACTTGTCCGCAGGTCAGATTGGCAGTGACTTTGGATGTTTTTTGTCTTCCTTTGCAGTATGTGGGGGCAGGTCACATGTCAGGATTACCTGGGTATTCCTCATTTATTAATTTCCCTACCATTGCATGGGCCTTTGGCACTGGTACACCGCAATACCTGTTATTCTCTGTGGCTCATAATAGTCTAGTCTCCTCTGGGCTGTAATACTTTGGTCTCATTGCTGTTGCTGGGTTTAGTGTGTTGGTGGTGGTGGTGGCCTGTAATATACAGGTCAGTATAAATGATATGGTGGTCCCCTCTGCCTTAAATTCTATGACAATGATTTCTTTTGTGACTGACTCTTAGGTTTTGTAAAATATTTGAAGCTATGTTGCAAATGCCTGGGCCAAACCCCTCATAGGGCAAGGCTAATACTTCTGTTCCATAATTTCTATTTAGTCACAATTGTGTGATTGTCTCACTGAAAAATTGTCCTGGCAGAATTTCTTTCCATAATTTGTTTATCAGATGGCATTGCTTATGCTTCTGAATTGTGGAGAGGTTGAAATTGGAGGAAAGGTCATGTAAATTGTTAGATTTAATTAAAAAAACCCTCAACCTTTTGTTCTCAGTATACCCACTGACATCAGAGCTAGTACAGAAATATACTTGTGTGAGAGAAAATGGGGGCACATGTTCTTTTCTCATAGTGACCAACTTTTTTTTATTAATACTGATTTTTAGATGGGAATAGATTTAATTTGTGTGGCAGAGGGCTATGCAATTCCCCTTGTGGCACGGTGAGATCCTATAGGCACACTTCCCGCAGTTCTCTCTATAGGAGTTCAGAAGAAATTCACTCGCCTCTGGAGTCTTTAAACATTTCCTCTTCTCCTGGGCTCAGATTTATTTAGTTTACATAGCTTCCCCAAAAGCTGTGAGGTCTTAACAGCTCTCTCCCTTGTGGCTGAGGTTTTCTATCAAGCTGTTCCCTTTGGGACACATGAAGCCCACAGTGCCCCTTAATGGTCTGAAGTAACATGCACAGCCCAGCTGTTGCTTTCAACCACCTTCTCCTTCACCTAGACTCTTTCTCCAGTTAGTCCCTAGGCTCCAGGGGTTCAGCAGGTCACCTTGTCCTGCTGGTGTCTCCCTCTTCTGAGGGAGGAGGCAGCAGCATAGATACAGCCCTCTTTCCCTGAGCTGGTTCCGGTTGGTTGGGAGAGAGAAGCCTTGCCCCACCTTTTCTTTGCAAGGCTCCTGGTTCTGGCCCCTTGAAGGAATAGAAGCACAGGTTTTCCTCAAAAACAGACTATTCTCCTTGAACCTCTTCTTCTCTCCTTATATCTGCCTTATGTCACTTTCCTAGACTCTTGGATACCAAACCTTAAAAGGGCCACACCATGGGACAGAGGTGGGATGATCCTTAGGCCCTACTACCCTTAAGGGGACAGACCACTCCTGTCACAACCTGACAGAAGCATTTCTGTCCAAAGAAATGTGAAAAATAAGATAGATGATACTGAGCATTGTAATTAATAATAAAAAGTGGATTGATGGCATCCCTAATGACTAGAGAAAATGATTGTGTCTGGAACATCAGATGGTACTTACATCATCGTGTCCCCGACTAGGAAATTTAGACCCTGTTAGGCTCTTGTGGATGTGCTGGGGATGTTTTTCAGAAATAACTATAATTTAATGTTATTTTTGTTACCCTAGGATGAGTGGCCTCCTTCATCAGAGACAGAGGTGTCCTTGGTTTTGGTCTGACTGGATATACCTTATGTTCCAAGAAGGAAGGGAACATAATAGAAGTCTCAAGATTCTTCACAGTTTTACTGACACTGTAACCCTGTTATTCCTTTTTTTTATTGTGTCCCAGTCAAAGGAGAGAAATACTGTAGTAAATATAGAGATTTCAGATTGTGAATGTGGTGGCTGGGCATTCAACCATTGGAAACATCACCTTATCTGAGAGATGTGTCTGGGATAGGAAAACAGAATGTTTATAATATTTAGGCCCTAAAGGAATGCCCTGAAGGGAAAGACACGATAACTAAGAATCTATTGCCTGAGTGTTGGTTTCAGCTAAAGGGTAATGCTTACATGGGAATAGTACAACAATTTATACTTGTACACTTTAGTTGGGGGAGGAGGGGAAGCCACAGAAAATTATCTTAATTCCCTTAACATACAGTGTATTGAACAGCTTAAAATAATCTAGCACTTCACCATTAGTCTTGTAACAGCTCTAAAAATCACAGCTGTTGCAAATGCTAAGACTCATTCTTTATTATTCCATGCTTTAAATAAAGAGTTTAAAAACTGCCCTACCTTTATTTTTAAATCTGTTTCAATCAAGCAATACAAAGTGATTACTACCTAAAGACCAGGTTCTGTGGTGACAGGAAGTTGAGTTAATGGAAGCTGTGCACCGATATCTGAGATCAGAATTTGCCCTTTAAAGAAGAAAGTTCAGTCACAGGACCTGATTTTCCTCTCATTTAGAGTCAGTCCCTATGCCCATTGTCTTCAGTGGCGCAGGAATCAGCCCTTAAATCACTGTAGCTCCATGGCAGTCAATGGAGTTACACCAGTGAAAAGGCCAGGAGACTCAGGTACCACATCTGAATGGGATTCTTCATCCTTTTGGTGTTGATTTGCATTCTGTGCAATGCCTCATTACTATACAGTTTTGTGATGTTGCCTGCTAAGGCAGCAGCACTGTGCTGAGGCTCAAAAATGAAGAACAATCAAAGCAAGGAGTCAACAAAGTGTTCCTGTCTGTAGCACAGGTGCATACTCCTAAGTAGCCTGTTCGTGAAAAAGCAGGACATAAAACCTCAGAATATATATGATTCACTGCATGGACAAGTGCAATCTCAACGTGCAATAGCGAAACAAGTACGAGGGGGATGGGATAGGTCCTTTTCTACCCCCAACCAATGCATAGTATAGACTCAGGGATACAGTGAATTTTTAAATATGTGGGATAAAAATTATTTTTAAGTATATACAAACAGGGGCCACACATCATTAGATTGTGGAATTTAAGCCATGAACTATGTATACATTTCTATATTAAAGATTATTGCAGAAAAATCCCGTGAAATAAAGAACCATGAACAACATAAAACTGACTTTGAAGGCAAATGTGAACAAAGTGGATCCAAAAAGAGAAGAGCTTTTCTTGATATGCTTCTGAATGCAACTGATGACAAAGGGAACAGACTGAGTTACATGGATATTCGAGAGGAAGTGGATACTTTCATGTTTGAGGTACCCCAAAGAGCTGTAGACTTTCAGAACTTGAGATCTGTTACAGAACTGAAGTTTTCCTCTTACTGGAACAGAAGCTTTACTTTTATTATTCAGTCATAACTGTAATTGTGTAGGAGGAATGTAAGAAGAGTCTGATGCACATATTGCAATATAGAATCTCATTCTTCAGAATAAAAAATATATCCAGAGCAAGAAATCTTCAATATTGTGAGTTGCAATGTTGTGGTGAAAAGAAAAGGAGTACTTGTGGCACCTTAGAGACTAACCCATTTATTTGAGCATGAGCTTCGATGAAGTGAGCTGTATGTAGCTCACGAAAGCTCATGCTCAAATAAATGGGTTAGTCTCTAAGGTGCCACAAGTACTCCTTTTCTTTTTGCGAATACAGACTAACACGGCTGTTCCTCTGAAATGTTGTGGTAGAAAGTTGCACATTTCCAAATCAGGATTAAAGTCCACTGGCAGAACTATGTGCCCAGTCCTGCAAAGTGAGCACTCCCCACTCACACCAATAGTCCAATGACTATTGTGGAACTACTGCCAGGGGCCAGGGTTTGCAGGCCTGGACCTGTAGGTCCTCATCCAAAGCCTATCCAAGTCAAAGGGAGTCTTTCTGTTGACTTGAATGGACTTTGGATCAGGCTCTTAGTGAGGAAGCTGTATAATACCTACCTAGACTAGATAGATACATACCTAGAAATAAAGAAATTGATGCACCTGATATGAACTGTGCTAATCTCTTCCCACACTGAAATCTCTCCATGCTACTAATCGCGTTGTCAGCTGTCTTTAGTACCTTTCCATTACTGTTATATCCATTGTGACACAGGATAACTGGAAGTGATCGCACTGGGCCTGATTCACTGCTGTATTGCTCGTTTTCTGCTGGTGTAACTCTTTATTCCCAGAGGCAGTGGAATTAATTGTCCCATGGTCACTATTAATCTGGGGCTCGATTATAGCAAATTTGATTAAAATTAAGATATCGATCAAATGTGTTGCTAGTGAACATTCCCTTGTTTTCGTTAGCATACAGTACCTGACTGGATCAGTTTTATGTTTATAACATATAATTTTAGGAAAATTTTATTCCTATGCCCTTTTGTGGTAATTGATGGTAATACTGTATTTACAGTCCCATGATGAAAAAGATAATAGTGAGTAACTTATATACTTTATATTTCATTGTAAAGCAGTGAAGAAAGGTAAATGTCCCTCCAACAATTGACTGTGGGGGAAAATAGTGACTTTAAGATTACTGTATAGTGTTTAAATTATTGTGACTGTCCAGAGAGATTTAGTGAGTCAACCAGTTTATGTCTAAAAGGAAGTAATAGCAAACCTCTTCCTCAGAGTTTGAATGCAGAGGAAGACCGTTCACCGGGTCAGCATAGACTAGCTAAGTAATAGAAGAGGGATGGCAAAGTTAACAAGTCTGCTTGTTAACATTATGATTCTGCCCCCCCCATATTAGTCTCCATCCATCATATTACACAACTGGTTATTTCCAGTTCAATCTTAGGTACTGGATTGTTACATGGATTCATATATTCTTAGCTTTTCTTCTGTATCTGTACAAAAAGAAACAGAGTACTTGTGGCACCTTAGAGACTAACCAATTTATTTGATTAAATACTACAAGTATTTGTATAAATACTACAGCTCACTTCATCGGATGCATACTGTGGAAAATACAGAAGATGTTCTTATACATACAAACCATGAAAAAATGGGTGTTTACCACTACAAAAGGTTTTCTCTCCCCCCACCCCACTCTCCTGCTGGTAATAGCTTATCTAAAGTGATCACTCTCCTTACAATGTATATGATAATCAAGTTGGGCCATTTCCAGCACAAATCCAGGTTTCCCCCCGCCACACACACACACTCCCACTCTCCTGTTGGTAATAGCTTATCTAAAGTGATCACTCTCCTTACAATGTGTATGATAATCAAGGTGGGCCATTTCCAGCACAAATCCAGGGTTTAACAAGAACTTCAGAGGGGCGGGTGGAGGGGTAGGAAAAAACAAGGGGAAATAGGTTATCTTGCATAATGACTTAGCCACTCCCAGTCTCTATTCAAGCCTAAGTTAATTGTATCCAATTTACAAATGAATTCCAATTCAACAGTCTCTTGCTGGAGTCTGGTTTTGAAGTTTTTCTGTTGTAATATCGCAACTTTCATGTCTGTAATCGCGTGACCAGAGAGATTGAAGTGTTCTCCGACTGGTTTATGAAAGTTATAATTCTTGACATCTGATTTGTGTCCATTTATTCTTTTACGTAGAGACTGTCCAGTTTGCCCAATGCACATGGCAGAGGAGCATTGCTGGCACATGATGGCATTTATCACATTGGTAGATGTGCAGATGAACGAGCCTCTGATGTTATTAGGCCCTGTGATGGTGTCTCCTGAATAGATATGTGGGCACAGTTGGCAACGGGCTTTGTTGCAAGGATAGGTTCCTGAGTTAATGGTTCTGTTGTGTAGTATGTGGTTGCTGGTGAGTATTCGCTTCATGTTGGTGGGCTGTCTGTAGGCAAGGGCTGGCCTGTCTCCCAAGATTTGTGAGAGTGTTGGGTCATCCTTCAGGATAGGTTGTAGATCCTTAATAATGCGTTGGAGGGGTTTTAGTTGGGGGCTGAAGGTGACGGCTAGTGGCATTCTGTTATTTTCTTTGTTAGGCCTGTCCTGTAGTAGGTGACTTCTGGGAACTCTTCTGGCTCTATCAATCTGTTTCTTCACTTCCGCAGGTGGGTATTGTAGTTGTAAGAATGCTTGATAGAGATCTTGTAGGTGTTTGTCTCTGTCTGAGGGGTTGGAGCAAATGCGGTTGTATCGCAGAGGTTGGCTGTAGACGATGGATCGTGTGGTGTGGTCAGGGTGAAAGCTGGAGGCATGTAGGTAGGAATAGCGGTCAGTACGTTTCCAGTATAGGGTGGTGTTTATGTGACCATCGTTTATTAGCACTGTAGTGTCCAGGAAGTGGATCTCTTTTGTGGACTGGACCAGGCTGAGGTTGATGGTGGGATGGAAATTGTTGAAATCGTGGTGGAATTCCTCTAGGGCTTCTTTTCCATGGGTCCAGATGATGATGATGGTATCAATATAGCGCTAGTAGAGTAGGGGCGTTAGGGGACGAGAGCTGAGGAAGCGTTGTTCTAAGTCAGCGATAAAAATTTTGGCATACTGTGGGGCCATGCGGGTACCCATAGCAGTGCCGCTGATTTGAAGGTATACATTGTCCGCAAATGTAAAATAGTTATGGGTAAGGACAAAGTCACAAAGTTCAGCCACCAGGTTAGCCGTGACATTATCGGGGATAGTGTTCTTGACGGCTTGTAGTCCATCTTTGTGTGGAATGTTGGTGTAGAGGGCTTCTACATCCATAGTGGCCAGGATGGTGTTATCAGGAAGATCACCTCAGGGCCTATGCTACCAGCACTCCCAGCTGTCTTCGAGACACCACTGACTCCTGAGGAAACTACAATCCATCGGTGATCTTCCTGATAACACCACCGTTCCTCAGACGTTCTTGTTAAACCCTGGATTTGTGCTGGAAATGGCCCACCTTGATTATCATACACATTGTAAGGAGAGTGATCACTTTAGATAAGCTATTACCAACAGGAGAGTGGGTTGGTGGGGGTGGGGAGAAAACCTGGATTTGTGGTGGAAATGGCCCAACTTGATTATCATACACATTGTAAGGAGAGTGATCACTTTAGATAAGCTGTTACCAGCAGGAGAGTGGGGTGGGGGGAGAGAAAACCTTTTGTAGTGGTAAACACCCATTTTTTCATGGTTTGTATGTATAAGAACATCTTCTGTATTTTCCACAGTATGCATCCGATGAAGTGAGCTGTAGCTCACGAAAGCTTATGCTCAAATAAATTGGTTAGTCTCTAAGGTGCCACAAGTACTCCTTTTCTTTTTGCGAATACAGACTAACACGGCTGTTACTCTGTATCTATACAGTTAGGGTACATCACTAAAATATCTCTAATTCCTTGAATATATTTAATTTCATATTCATGAAGATAATGCAGATCTGAACATCTGAGTAAATCTGTACCTCTAGGGGCATGATACAACAGCTGCTGCTATGAGCTGGGCCATCTACTTACTTGGATGTCATCCAGAAGCCCAGAAGAAAGTTCACAGAGAATTGGATGAAGTGTTTGGTTAGTTTCTATCCTTTGCTTCTTTGTAGGTGTAAGTTTGCACTGACAGTATATGGTTTAATAGTCATTTCTATCTAGAGATTTATAAAGGAAAATAAACACCTGCTGTGCCACTGTACATGCTGTAACTCTTCTGTGTATAAAGACACGCCAGTGGTAGTTGGTTTGATGCTAAGGGAAGTATGACAGATCTCAAAGATTGCAAAGTCTTTCGGGCAGGTACCATCTCTTTGTTGTATATTTGTACCGCGCTTATCACAATGGAATCCTGGTCCATGACTTGGGCTCCTAGGTGCTACTGCAATAAAAATAATCAGTAGGGCTCTGAGTCTATCCCAGAGGTCACGGAAGTCACGGATTCCTTGATTTTCCATGACCTCCATGACTTCTGCAGTAGCCGGTGTGGCTGACTCCAGGGCCACCCAGGCAGCTGGCCCCGGGGACAGCCACTCCAGCCACTGCTGGAGCAGCTCTGCAGCCAGCTGCTGGGGTGGCCCCTGGGCCGGCTGCACTGTTTGCCGCTGGGGCAGCCCCGGGGTCCGCTCCAGCAGTGGCTGGAGCAGCTGGCCCCGGGGACTGCCTGAGCAGTGGTCCTGGGGGTGGTGGGAGCAGAAGCGAGTGGGTGGCCCCGAGGGCAGCTGGACCAGTTGCTGCGTGGTAGCCCCCAACAGCTGGTGCCACTGGCCCCTGCCCTCCCTGAGCAATGTCCCCCTAGCCTCTCCCCCCAGAGCAGCGTCCCACTTTCCCAGCTAAGATTTAGTCAGGGGTATATAGAAAAGTCCCAGACAGGCCATCTATGATGTTCCCCTCTGGTGTTATCTAGACTGGTGATATGCTAGGTCACTCCAGTTCTTGACTCTGGGAGCCAGCCTTACCCTGCTCTGCTGTGAGAACCCCCATTCCTAGGCTGTTCACGCACAGCCTCTGGCACGTAAGCTGCTCTTTGGATTGTGCAACTGAATGATACTAGCCAATATCTGCGGTCCCAGACACAAACCCTAGGAACCTCCATCTTGCAGTGTCCAGTTATGCCTGCTGGATGCTGAAAGCTTATATTAGTTCGTCAGTTTAACAAATAAATTGATATGTACCAGGCTTGTTATCCCAAGGGGAGTCTCTGACACGCTTTAAACCAAGCACACTGCTTCAGGTAGAATAAACAAAGAGATTTATTACTATAAAGATAGATTTTAAGTGATTATAAGACAAAGCATAACAAGGTGGATTTGGTCAAATGAAATAAAAGTAAAACACATTCTAAGCTGATCTTAACACTTTCAGTGCCCTTACAAACTTAGATGCGTCTCACCACAAGCTGGCTGGTTGCCCTTCAGCCAGGCTCTCCCCTTTGATCAGCGCTTCAGTCGCTTGGTGTGGTGTCTGTAGATGGAGGTAGAAGAGAGAGGAAGAGCATGGCAAATGTCTCTTCCTTTTTCTTTTATCATGTTCTTTCTTCCCTCTTGGCTTCGCCCCTTCCCCCCGGCCCCCCGAATCAGGTGAGCATTACCTCATCACAGTCCCAAACTGACCAAAGGAAGGGGAGTGACTCACTCGAAAGTCCAACAGATCCTTTGTTGTTGCCTAAGCCAGTGTCCTTTGTTCCTGTGAGGCTGGGCTGGGTTTGTCCCATACATGCCCTGATGAGGTGTGAACTGCCCCTCTACTCTTGGGGACGTTTTGCCTGGGCTTACTTTAAGCCATGAAGACACATTTTCAGCCTCATAACTATATACATGAAATTACAACCTATAACATTACTATAACATTACTGTAACAACAATTACTATGACATCAGTATAACAACAATGCTCATGTTGCCTTCCAAAGACACCTGACATGACAAACTTTGCATTGGATACCACGCAGTCATTTTACAAGGATGAACATGGGGATGCGGGGTGTTTCCCCTGAGGTACTGAGCATCAAACCGTGAATTTTTGTTTATTGCATGTGACCTGTCTGACTTTTACTAAAAATACCCATGATTAAATTGTAGGCTTAATAATAATAATTGTAGTTGAAGAAAGTCACAAGAATAAATATTTGGACAAATGATTCAAACTCATAAGTGTAACCCACATGCCTAACAGGGAGATATCTCTTTAAGAGATCTGTAGGGGGTAGGAATGAGTTGTGTCTGGGTCATTGTTGCTAGGCAAATGCACAATTAACTCTCCACACTCAGAAGTTTCTGGAATTGTGGGTGGCAATTTTGGGTATGCTCAAAAGGTTCCCTGTTACTGGACTCAAACTCCATGAGGGCTAGTAGTCACGGCAGCTGCTTTACAAAAGACCATGTTCCTTGTGTGGGTTCGAAGAAGCTGAGCCACAGGAGCTGAAAGCAGGCTGTTGTAATTAATTCTGAAGTATTTTGCAGCAGGTTTTTTTTAATCTGTATACTTAAAGTGAGTGCTCGTTTAATTAATTAGCTGACTAGTGTGAGCCCCCCCTTTGGGGATGCTATGCAGCCCCGCCCCTTCCACAGGAGGCCCCGCCTCATCACCTCTCCCATCTGCCACAGCCCTGAGCTCCCCCACCCCCACAGCTGGAGGAACCCCAGCCATCCCCAGCACTGGGCTTGGGGAAAGGGTGGAGCATGGGCAGGGCCAGGGCTTGGCTTAGGGGGAGGCTTAGCCTCCCCTGACCTATTATACCTGCCACCCATGCTAGCTAACTGAGTGATTGCAGCAGAGGAAGAGGAACGGTCTGCATGAATTCCAGTTGGAGGTTTCTGCAAGCAAGAGGAAAGAATTTATTGCTGCAGTGCTTTTAACTCAGCAGACTGTAACTGAGACTCAGGTGAATTCTACCTTAGCTTTTGGGAACTCTGAGTTTCTTATCACTGTGTTTCTGTGGGGACTGACCTGTTAAGATTTAATTTGTCTTCTTTATTTCTGTTATGTTTAATTGTGAAGATCATGTATGTGGATTATAAAGGAGCCATGTTATGATGTAGGAATTAAGTTGTTATTATGACTATTATTATTATGTTTTTGTCATTATAAAGTTGGTACTTAAGAATTAAGTTCATTCCTTTTGTTCTTTTTGGATTTGAATGTGGGGAGGTTGATCTTGTGCAATCCTAGCTGAAAATCCTCAGTGACTGAATTCTGGGTCTCCAGGTGCTTTTCGATGGGAGCTGGGTTCTTTTAAGCACTGGAGAAGGGCAATGATGTAAACTCTAGCCCATTCAAAGGTTATGTAAGCCCAGTGGTGGAGTTGTACTTTTGTCAGCATTTAAGAGAGTTGGGAGCCCCTTAAGATAGCTTGTGTCTTTAGTCTGATTAGGACAGTTGTTTCTCACACCCCTGTTGTCATTCTGATCAGGGAACTCTGACCGGCCTGTCACAATGGATGACCTTAAGAAGCTCCGGTATCTTGAGTGTGTCATTAAAGAAGCCCTTCGTCTCTTCCCTTCTGTTCCATCCTTTGCCCGCACCACAAGTGAAGATTGCCATATTAGTAAGTAGTAGTATTTATTATTATTTTTTATTTTCATAGTCGTGTAGGTGCCCCTGCCATGTACCAGGACCCTTTTAGGCTAGGTACTACTAGGTACAAAGAAAGTACAAAAAGATGTTCCCTGTCCCAAAGGACTTACAATCTACATATAAGACAAGGAAGATCAGATGGATACAGACAGACCAATGTGGAGTACAAGAAAGCAATAAGACACTCAGATTTGGTTAGCAGGTTAGCCTCTTACGTCAGCACAACAGTAGTCTAGTCCAGGGGTAGGCAACCTATGGCATGGGTATCAAAGGCGGCACGTGAGCTGATTTTCAGTGGTACTCACAGTGCCCGGGTCCTGGCCACCGGTCTGAGGGGCTCGGCATTTTAATTTAATTTTAAATGAAGCTTCTGAAACATTTTTAAAAACCTTGTTTACTTTACATACAACAATAGGTTAGTTATGTATTATAGACATATAGAAAGAAACCTAAAAATGCTAAAATGTATTACTGGCACGTGAAACCTTAAATTAGAGTGAATAAATGAAGACTCGGCACACCACTTCTGAAAGGTTGCCAACCCCTGGTCTAGACATTGTCAAGTTTTTGAAGGGCTCGCTGCAAAAGAGAGTTTTGAAGGAGGAGGATGAGTTAGTTTTGTGGATGTTTACAGGTAGTAAATCTCAGCCTTGTCTGTATTCATCATTTTTAGGTATGAGAGGTATCTGCTGTCACGGTGATGCATAAGTAAAGAACCGTTTTTGTGCTTTCTATCCATTTACAGGAAGCCACTTACTTTACCGGCTTGTTGTTTCTTTTTTTGCAGGAGGATTTAAGATACCAAAAGGTACAGAGGTAATCATTGTTACTTATGCACTGCACAGAGATCCAGAGGTTTTCCCAGATCCTGAGGAATTCAGGCCTGAGCGATTCTTCCCTGAGAATTCTAGTGGAAGGCATATATATGCGTATGTGCCCTTCTCTGCTGGATCCAGAAACTGCATTGGTACGTAGGTGATAAAAACCGAAGTGTAATAGGCCTCTGTTGGGAGGCTGACACTGGCCCTTTATGAAGGAATATATCAGTGCACCTAAGACTGGTTAGTTGACCCCTCCTCCCCATTAGACTTAAGAGAGGATACTTGGGCCATAGAGGGAAGGAGAAACGGTGAGCCAGAGACATGGAGTATCAGAGCTTGAGAGGAGTCAGAGACAGGAAGCACCAGGAAAGAGCTGTCAAGCGTTGCTTGGGAGAGCTACAAGAGACCTGGTAGTTACAGCTGAGTTCTGAGGAGAGCTGGAACAGAACTGCTGGTGAGAACTGACTAAAGTTGGGACCCTGATGAGCAGAAGGCTTGGGCAGTGGCCGCGAGGCAAAAAGGAAAGATCCAGCTTGGCCAGGGGAAGCTGAGCCTGGAAGCAAGAGGGTGGACTCTGGAAGGATGTTCCCTGAGCAGGGGTAGGGCTCCCAGACAGGGAGGCCTGGGGAATAGAATGCTGTGGAGAGCTCTCTTGTGGGAGACCTGGCTTGGGGGAGCTGTGGGAAGAATCATGAGACTGGTCACTCTCTGGTGCATTACCTGGAGAGCAGGCCCTGCCTAGATCAGGAGTCAAAGGGTCTGGGAACACAGGGTTGCTGTTGACTGCCAGTGGGTAACCTGGAGGTGTTGTCCATGAAGAGGGGAATGGAAAAATAGTTGTACCTTTATGCTTACTGTGGGTTTGTCAAGAATGGTTTTTCTACAAGGGTTTTGGGGGAATTAATACACTGGTATATTTGAATAAATTACTCTGAGTGGCGGGCTTTGTATTAGACACTGAGAGACTGTTTCATAGGTGAACAAAAAGGGGAAACTGAGGCAGGGGCACCTGTCATGCTGTAGCCTGCTGTTGGAGGGTGCTGTGTAGCATGCCCCACGCAAGGTTGCCTCATGATAGCCTTCATACTTGGTTATTGAACTTACCACTAAGACTGGTTAGATGAAGTTACCTTTGCTGCAGTACCCACAGCAGAGCTTATGCATTCTAATGGAAATGTAATCCTGTGTGCTTAATAACTGAGGCAGAGCAATTCTTACTGGTACCTCATTCTTCAGACTGATGAAATATTTACATTTTCTTTCTTCCCATGGGGTTCTTCAGAGTCTACTTTGTTTCCTCCTTACTGGGACTTGATCCACATGTAACTCTGTGTCATGCTAACATCAGTTCTGTCTCAAGAGGGCTGGGCCTGGTTTCCATCAGAGTTCAGAGCCACTCAAAGACACCATGGCAGCTCACTAGGGAACAGCATGAGCCACTCTCTCTCTCCCTCCCCTTGGGATATGTTTGCTGGCTATTCTGTGATCCCAACCACTGGTGGACTGCAGCCTGGAGGAGAAAATTTAAGACCCCCTTTCAGTCTTCTGCAGTAACTGCTGGGGTGTTCACTGAGCTCCTAAAACTTGTAAGCAGTCCAGGGAAGGGACTGTGTCTGCACTTGTTTCTCTGAAGCACCTAACACAGTTGTGTAGGTTCAGAAATAAACAACTTTTGGAGAATTGTATGTAGTATATAGTTGGTGTGACATTAAAGGAACTGTTTCTTTGTGGATCCTTATTCCGGAGGTTCTGTTCTACCACATTAACTATGAATGATGCAAAGTATTGAGAGGAAGGCAAATTTCTGTTGTTCTGATCTCATTTCATTTTCAGGATTTCATTCCATTTTGAATGGGTCAGTCCCAATGACAGAAGCACAATTGCAGGCAAAGCTCTCAGCAACAGCTGTTGAGACTCTTCTGTCAGCAATACAAAGTAGACATTCTTAGGAGTCCAAATACAAATGAAGTTAATTAAAAAAAAAACAAACCCAAATCAAACAAACAAAGCCAAAGATTACGTTTTACTCTTGAGCAGATCTTTGCACATTGAAAGATGATCTAACTTATCATAATCAGGCTAATTGTTGTTTCTAGTGCACCCAAATTGTTTGAGGTATTTTACAGGCATAAAGATGATTCCTGCCTAGGCAGCTTGCAGTCTGAACAGACAATGTACAGAGAAGGGGTTGAGGGAAGGGAGAGAGACACTGGTCAGACTTCAAAGCAACTGCATATATGTTTTCCCTTTATGATCAGCAAGGGCACCCACTCTAGGCTTCCAGCTCCTCAGCCATCACATCTCTGGGGTGGAGACTCATGACTCTCTCCCTCCTGACCAAGGTTTTTCTAGGTTGCAGAGTTCCCTGCCTCTTGTGAATTTCCCAGCAACTTGGACTGCCTATGCAGAGCTGCTTTGATTTTCTCCTCAGAGACTATAAACAGAAAAAGGACCCACCATTATAAGTTACCACACAGCTTTTTCTAAGCAAGCACACTTTTTCTTAAGATAAAAGCATTACAGAGAAAACATATTAAAAACAAACAAACAAAAAGTACACATCACTACACATGTACACATTACTACACATGTACTAATAAACTTATCAAAGATTACCCCCATCTCCACAAGGGCTCTGGTTGGTCTCAGTCCTTCCAACCCTTCCCAAAAGATTGGGGCCCTTCCCGTGGACAGCAGGTCCTGTCTATTTGCTGGATCAGAAAGAAGGCCCCAAGTCAGTTTAAATTCAAACTATTTATCCAAAAATCCTTTCTTTGTCTGTTGGCCTCTGGAGAACCCAGTCTGAACTAGTATATGCGGGCCTCTCTAGGTGGTGGTACCTCATTGGAGGCTTTACTATCTGAGTGAATTTGCCTTATCACCTTGCAACTGTTCTTAGTTCCCGGAGGGGCTGTGGTTACCTGCCCCATGGAATTACATATAATCCCTGGCCCACAATGATATATAAACTTAATACAGTAAGATCTCCCAAAGATATTGCAGGAAACTGCCATAGCTCTCACAGACAGCACAACACAACTTTTAAAATCCTCTGCCTCTATAATCTTTGGCTAGCTGCCTGGTCTGTGACCCTTGTCAATTTGCTTAGCTCCTTTTTCTTTTTATTTCTATTTTCTCCTCTCTCTACTTTTCTCTTAAACCTTTGATTATTTGTCTAATTTCTCCCCTCCCTATTTCACCAGCACACTCTACTTTTAGGATAACAATGAAATCAACAAAGCTCTCTCTTTTTTCCTTCTATGTGTGCTCTTCCTGCTGTCCATGTGCGGTGATCCTGGAGCTGAGCCCTTCTCCTCCTCCTCCTCCTCATTTAGGCCTAAATGTAACATAACAGGGTCACATTTTGTATTAGGTTTTCCTCCATGATACTTTAACTTTAAGTTTAACTTTAAGGCCAACTTTAAGCTCCAAGTGGAGGCTATGCATATTTTAAATCTGATTCTTCCCTGCTGTAGATATGGAAGGAAACAGATCTATCACAAATCCCATTCTTGGTAACATCTGTACTATCCTGAATTTGGGCTATATTGGTTTATAATCTGTGACTGCAGATGCACAGTTATTCCCATGCTGCATTTTGTGAGAAATCTTTAAGTGTAATTATGAGGGCTGTTAGTACTAAACTACTATTGTTTATGTTCCAATTTAACCTGAAGGCCAGCGCTTTGCACAGGTGGAAGAGAGAGCTGTTCTAGCCATCATCCTACAACGCTTTTGGGTGGAAACAAGTCAAAAGCGAGAAGATCTTGATTTGGTCGCAGAATTAATTCTTCGCCCAAATAAGGGCATCTGGATCCAGCTGAAGAGGAGAAGAGAGTGTGTGTCATAAGAATAAAGCTTACAAGGATTTTAGATCCTAGAACATGTGCTCAGTAGTATCCTGTAGTTTATTCATCTTTAATCACATAAGAAGACTTAACAGAATTGTAAATATATCAAAATATTTCAGAATCTCTTGACCTTTGACCTATAAATATTTATCTCAGGATGTGATCTTTCCCTCCCATTCAGTTGGCTCAGGATGTCTCAGAAAGTAGCATTGACAGTTGAATGCCTTGTATCCTTACTATCCATTGTCATGGCACTTTACATCACTTTCTCTGAGACCACCATTCATATTGCTCCATGAAATGGTCAGCTGACTGACTTCTCACCCTGGAGGAAAAGTTACTAAGGTGTAGGACATGCCCAGCTTCCACTCTCCCAAGGGTAAGGGTATGGAGGTGGTCTTCCACCCACTGTCTCTTAATTACAAACGCAAGGTACTGTTACAGTCTTCATTAGAATATTTTTGGTGGACAACTCCATACCTTATGTGAGTGAAATCAGACAACTATAGTTCTTGCATGGAACTGTAGCCTTGACAGGCTAAAAAATGTAGAAAACTGAATGTGAATTTGGAGAGATCTGAAAAGAATGAGCCAGATCCTTAGCTGGTATGAATCAGCTTAGCTCTATGGTCTTCAGTGGAGCTGTGTGAGTTTTCACCAGCTCAGGATCTGGCTCAGTATATTTAGCGATTATTCATCCAAAATTGTTTTTTGTTGTTGTTGAGTTCATTCTGCAGTTTATGGCATGTCCCAAACTCTCCTCTCACTTAAAGCAGTGCAGTCTTACTGGCTTCAATAGAGTTATTCCTGCGTGAATGAGGGGAGAATTTCACAAATGACTTCCAGTGTGCCTATTGAAGGGAGGGAAATATATTTTCCAAAATGTATGTGTTTTTCACAGTTATTTTTGAATGTTATTGCGGCCTTGACTGTTGGATTAATTTGTCATGTAACTTATATTATATAGTATGATATAATACATTCAGCTAATAGTCAAATCTGATTGAGATTTATATAAACCTCTGCACTTTAAATGATATTGACATTCTTTACAAATGGTTATAAATTATTAGAATGGATTTTTTGTTCAGTTTCTGGCATTTGGCTCGCAAAAGCAATCAGTAGATGAGCGTCTTTCCTTAGGAGAAAAAGAAAATTGAGGTAGCCTGGATGATGAACTACCTCCCTTAATAGAGCAAAAGAAAAGGAGTACTTGTGGCACCTTAGAGGCTAACAAATTTATTAGAGCATAAGCTTTCGTGGGCTACAGCCCACTTCATCGGATGCATAGAATGGAACATATAGTAAGAAGATATATATACACACACACACACACACACACACACACACACACGAAGAACATGAAAAGGTGGACGTAGCCATACCAACTGTAAGAGGCTAATTAATTAAGATGAGCTATTATCAGCAGGAGAAAAAAAAACTATTGTAGTGATAATCAAGATGGCCCATTTAGACAGTTGACAAGAAGGTGTGAGGATACTTAACATAGGGAAATAGATTCAATATGTGTAATGACCCAGCCACTCCTATTCTCTATTCAAACCCAAGTTAATAGTATCTACTTTGTATATTAATTCAAGCTCAGCAGTTTCTCATTGGAGTCTGTTTTTGAAGCTTTTCTGTTGCAAAATTGCCACGTTTAAGTCTGTTACTGAGTGGCCAGAGAGGTTGAAGTGTTCTCCTACTGGTTTTCGAATGTTATGATTCCTGAAGTCAGATTTGTGTCCATTTATTCTTTTGCGTAGAGACTGTCCGGTTTGGCCAATGTACATGGCAGAGGGGCATTGCTGGCACATGATGACATATATCACATTGGTAGATGTGCAGGTGAACGAGCCCCTGATGGCATGGCTAATGTGATTAGGTCCTATGATGGTGTCACTTGAATAAATATGTGGACAGAGTTGGCATCGGGCTTTGTTGCAAGGATAGGTTACATAGGTTATAGAGCAGTTACTCCAGCACAAGGTGGATCTGTGTTTGCCTGGCCTGTGCACAAAGTGAGAATTTTGGTTGCCAGCACAAATAATTGTAACAATTTGACATTCAGGGTCAAAGTCTGCTCTGAGATCCGACTCCTGGTCCAAATCCTACTTGAGTCAGTTGGTGCTGCACCTAGTAATTGAGAATAGAATTTGACCCCCCCCCACCCAGTCATGAATTGCTGCTATTCTCACAGGGTGGACAAAGAGCTGACACGGAAGTGAAATATCATGGCAGTTTATGATTTTGTACTGTGGGGCTGGGCAGAAAGCTCTTCTCTCTCTCTACAACTCCATGAAGCATACACTTGATTGACTGTGTGGGGAGTGCCCCACAAAAACAAGGACACTGAATTAACTCTGAAAGGGTTTGAGCCAATGAGCAGACAGGAGGTGGGATGGTTCACCAGCCTGGGAAGATTCAGAGAAGAAATAAAGAAGAAGCTGGCTAGCAAGCAGTAGCCCTGAGCTGGGGCAGAGAGAGAGAGAGACTGAACCTGGAGCTGCTGGGAGGAGAGCCAGTTGCTTGCAAAAGGGGACTTTCATAAATTCACAGCCTGGAGTTCACAGGACAGCTGAGACCACTGTTCTGAGCTCACAGGTTAGCCTGACCCAAGGGGTGGGGGATTGCATTGGCGTGGGGCAGAGAGTCTGTGTGTATCTAGCCAGCCAGCGCGGGAGGGGCTGCGGCTCTATCGGGGCAAGAAAGTCTGTATAACCCCTGCTAGAGTTCCTGACCTAGGTCTACTCCTTGTTTGCTTGGGTGAGATAAGTGTTGTTCTATTGTTAAGTGTAGTGCATACTCCTGACCCCTGTAGGAGAGAGTGTTGGTGTTTGTGCAGAGGTGTGTGGCTGGGACCTGGGACCCCTCTCCAATTGTTGGAATCCCCCACCTTACAATACTTTCATATAGGAAATATTGGTAATGTATTTAATGTACCTAACCTTGGTCTATTTTTAGCTATCTGGACAATATGCATTATTTTTCAATAAAGTTTTTATTAGTTAAAGATATTTTTAAACTGAAGACCTATTACACAGTGTACATTTCCATGTAAAAATATAGTGGGGATGTTACAAAATGGAAAGATTAAAATTGCAACAGAGGGACACTTAATATGTTAAAAGAAAAGGAATACTTGTGGCACCTTAGAGACTAACAAATTTATTTGAGCATAAGCTTTCGTGAGCTACAACTCACTTCATCAGATGCATTCTGTAATACATTGTTGCCTTACAGTGTTGTGAATTTGTTTATAAAATGTTGACTTTGCTACATTGCTCCCTAGATCAATAAAACAATATATCTTAAATAATCTGTTTGTACTGTGACAGTTAATGCAATGATTTTAAATATTTTTCTAATTACAAATATCTTTGGGAAATGCAAATACAATTTACTGTGTGTATGGGTGCGCAAGCCAGGAATTGAATGATGTCCATGAAAGACTCAGAGAAGATAAATTGTTTCTAATTTGAAATTCAGAGGTCACATCCACTCTTTACTAGAGCTGGTCGAATAATTCAAAAAGTGACTTGTAAATAATTTCATGAACAAAAATAGCAAGTTCAGCTTGCTCTTGTATTCAGACAAGTGCTGAGGTTTTGTGAAAATGTTAATATCTGAATAGTTGAGATTTTAATAGTTTTTAGCACAAATAATCATTCTTTCAAAAATTTGTGCCAGAAATAAAATAATAAACAGTGTGAATAAAGTATGTATAAAAGTTTTAGTCACCCTGTCAGGAACAGGAAACAATACTACTGGCCAATCACACACCTAAAATAGACAGCAGTAAACAGCTAAACTGCACAATGTTTGGGATGAAATTTGTACACAGAAATTATTCACTGAATACCTGTGACACAGAATTCCACTTAGTCAATTCAAAGGTTTGTAAACTAGAAAAAGGTGTTGCAATGACTTAGTTCTTATAGGTTTCAGAGTATCAGCCATGTTAGTCTATATCTATTCAGGGGACACCATCATAGGGCCTAATCACATCAGCCACACTATCAGAGGCTCATTCACTTGCGCATCTACCAATGTGATATATGCCATCATGTGCCAGCAATGCCCCTCTGCCATGTCCATTGGTCAAACTGGACTGTCTCTACGTAAAAGAAAAATGGACACAAATCAGACGTCAAGAATTATAACATTCAAAAACCAGTCGGAGAACACTTCAATCTCTCTGGTCACTCGATTACAGACCTAAAAGTGGCACTTCTTCAACAAAAGAACTTCAAAAACAGACTCCAACGAGAGACTGCTGAATTGGAATTAATTTGCAAACTGGATACAATTAACTTAGGCTTGAATAGAGACTGGGAGTGGATAGGTCATTACAGAAGGTAAAACTATTTCCCCATGTTTATTCCCCCCACCCATCCCCCACTGTTCCTCAGACATTCTTGTCAACTGCTGGAAATGGCCCACCTTGATTATCACTACAAAAGCCCCCCCCCCCCGGCCGCTGCTCTCCTGCTGGTAATAGCTCACCTTACCTGATCACTCTCATTACAGTGTGTATGGTAACACCCATTGTTTCATGTTCTCTATGTATATAAATCTCCCCACTATATTTTCCACTGAATGCATCCTATGAAGTGAGCTGTAGCTCATGAAAGCTTATGCTCAAATAAATTTGTTAGTCTCTAAGGTGCCACAAGTCCTCCTTTTCTTTTTAATTCTTACAGCTATTGCCTCAGCTTCCCTCTTGCTGGTTGGGTAGTTTAGCCATCCAGCTAAACCAAAAACTCCACCCCTTCCATGTTAACAAGGGAAAAAATATCTTTCCCAGTCTTTACCTAGAGTGGAGGCTTTTTTTCCTCCTCGTGGTGGAACTGGACATGATGGGCAGAAACTTGGGCAGCTAAATATGCAGATGCCCATTCCAGGCCTCAAGCCCAGTCTGCCTCTTTGCCATTGAACAAGGTGAGGCCATTCCCTCACCTTGTTCAAACTTTCTCCTGCACTAGGCTTCCAATACAAAATTCTCAGTCAACAATATTTCCACTGATAAATAAATCCAACAGTTCTCCTCCTCGGCTTTCACAGGGCTACCCAGTGCCTTTCTTGGGTTCTTTGTCCTTTTGTCTGAGAGTGGAGAAAGGCAGAGCTCCTGCTCCTTCCACATATCTCTCTAGTCTGATGAAAAAGGAGCTTGTGTGTATTCTGGCCCTGTTTCCCTGCATTTTTCTCTATGATACTTGTATGGCTCCCATTACAATAGTATCTGAGTGCCTTACAATCTTTTAATCTATTTATCCTCACACACCCCTGGGAAGCAGGAAAGTACTGTTATTCTCATTTTATGGATGGAGACTGATGCACAGAGAGGCCAATGGCTAAATCCACAAAGGGATTTAGGTGCCTAACTTCCGCTTAAGGCACTTAAATCCAAAAGTGAGCCCCTCAAAACCCCTGCTAGGGTTCTGCTAACCCTGTAGGTGCCTAAACTCCCTGGACACTTAAATTTCATGGGTGAGCATTCAGACTGCTGCCTCAGTCCTGATGCCCACATATAGCTCATGCCTAAGCCCTAGCAGAATTCTGAAACTCTGCATTCCCCCACCTATCTTGCCTGGGGGGCCCCAGTCTGGTAGGTGTCTCACAGCATACCTACTGAATTGGGCTCTGCATAAAGCACAACCAGAAGAAGTGGTACCACTGACCAGGGTGTGGGAGGCTGTTGGCCAAATTCCTCCTCTGCCTGATTCACTGGGCCAGAGAGTAAGAGCAAGAATCATTCTATAAGCCAAAGGTTAGGGCAGCCAAGATCACTCAGGAAGTCTGTGGCAGAGTAGGCTAGGGATAATAGGGTATTTCTTTCCATAGCCTAGAATCCAATGGTCCCTCTATATGTACAGCCTCCAGAATGCCATTGTTTTGGGTGAAACAGGTAGGGTGACCAGATGTCCCGATTTTATAGGGACAATCCAGATTTTTGGGTCTTTTTCTTATATAGGCTCCTATTACGCCCCACCCCGTCCTGATTTTTCACATTTAATATCTGGTCACCATAGAAACAGGATAATGCTGCAGACCTGTGGTCTGTTTGTAAAAGGTCACATGTCTCATTACAGGGGTAAATTAGCGAAGGAAAGGAAAGGCACTGGGAACACAGGTCGCAGAGTCAGTATCAACCACAAGGAGAAATGAAAAGATATCAATGCAGAAGAAGCCAATAGTAAGGAAGTGGTTAAGAAAGAGGATGTTGGGGGGCATAACAAGTGAGAAAAACTGTAGGGAAAATTGAGTTTGGAGACACAGGTGGGGTAGCTGATGGAGACCCTTTTGAAAATTAGGAATTCAAATATGTTAGAGACAGCAGAATGCAGTCCCCCTAACTGAAAAGAGTATTGGTTTCCACTTGCTAAATGCAGCACTTCAGGAATTTGTGGTAAAAGGAAAGAAACATCAGACTTGAATCTCTCCTCAGTTACACCAGATTTCCACAGTGTAACTCACTTGGGCTTGAGTCACCATTTCACTAACACACAAGTGATATAATTGTAAGATTCATACTGATGTAAGTGAGGCGAGATCAGGCCCATTTCCTGGTGGGGGAGGCAAAGAGGGAAGAACAGGACTGAGAAAGGAGGATTCTCTTTTGTCTATGCCCTGAAGATTTCCTTAAACATAAATGTTTGCTAGTTCGTGCAGAGCGCCACATTAAGCCGAAGAAGATTTGACTATTGTAAAACAGGGATTAGACATTTATTTTTTTAAAAAGGGTCAGATCCTCAGCAGGTGTAAACTGCTGTAGCTACATTGACTTCATTGGAGTGCTACCACTTTACACCAGCTAAGGATCTGGCCCAAAGACAGAAACAATGTTGACATTGTGAGTACCCATTAAAAGTAAATATACAAATCAGGCAAACATTGCATGCAAAATAATATTTAACATAATTGGAAGTGCTGTTTTTTTTCCTAGCAGAGCATACACATTATCCAACCAGCCAGAACTACTCACACATGTGCAGTTATTGTGCTTTCAAGTAAATAACTTCCATTGTTTTAATTGCTATCAAATAAAACATTGGCAGTATCCACACCGCAATACATGTTGATCTGATTATCGGTTGTGTTATCTTGCTGACATAAACATTTATTTGCTGCTCCTAAAATTTGCAGCGTAACATTTTTAGTGGTGAAGAATTTAAGATTCATTTTGTAAGCTTTCATATTTTGCTAAAATACTAAGGTTAAATGCAATGCCTACACTGTTGCTAGGAGCTGTTTAGATTAAAAACTATTTGGAAATAAAGGACTAGGAGGAGGTGGTCATATTGGTAATACTGAAATTTATAATTAGCAGGGCAGTTTGGCTCTCAGTTTAATCATGTGAAAATCCAGGGTAACTCCATTGGAGAGCCGAGCAGAATTTGTCCCAATATTTGTAAATTTAATTCATTCTTGTAGTCATAAACAAGGTATGAAACTTCTGCTGCTAATACATGCTATTGTATGGATACCAGCGTGGTCATTCCACTTGTATCCTACGACTTTGCATGTTATTTTTAAATGCCTGTCCGACAGAAAAATTGTATGTAAATCACCCAATAATGGGTAGCTCTAGTACTCTTTAAAATGAGTTGCATCACATGTTAATTATATTCTAAAGAAACATTTTGATGTATTTATTTTTTAGATGGTTTGGATTTATCAGACCTTTAATTTCATTTTCTTATCAACTCGTTCCTTTTTTGGAACCTGTAGCTAGTAGCCTATGCCAGTAAACTTCAAACTACAGGTCCTGACTCTTTTAACTTTCTTCTCTTATCATTGCTATGGGAAATGCCTTTGGTGATGAAGATCTCAAAATTTTGATTCTGTGTTTTACCTTTGTATCATAGATACAAAAGTTGTAAGATAAAATTCCATCAAAGTCTGAAAATCAGGAATAGACTAAATTTTGCTGCTTCAAATTATGTGCAGTGTATACACTTGGGGCTTGTCTACACTACCACTTAAGTCAATGTAACTTACATCACTCAAAGATGTGAAAAAGCTACCCCTTGAGCGATGCAAGTTGTATTGACTTAAAGCTGTGTCCACACCACACTATGTCGGCAGGAGCTGCTCTCTCCCTACCTAGCTTCCAGCTCTCATTGAGGTAATTATGCCGATGGGAGAGCAATCTCCTGTCAGCATAGCACATCTTCGCCAGATGCGCTACAGCGGTGCAGCCACGCCGATGTAGCGCGGAAGTGTAGACTAGCTCTTGGAGACCTTTAAAGCAAGTATAAAACTGACCAGAGAATAAGTTTTCTGTAAAATGTGGGAATCCTGTCGCTAAGCCTAATGTATGATTTAAGCCTGTTCCTGTTATCCAGGCAAAATTCTCAGGACTGCAGGCTCAGATTCTGGGTATTATTCCCAGATTCTGTGTATTATTATTATGTAACATCCTACTTCATCCTTTTCTTATCTCTCTCATCCTCTTCATATTGTCTGGCATTCTCCTGTCTTAGTTGTGACATTGTTCTTCTTCATGCATTATCTTAGATCACAGATTCATAGACTCCAAGGCCGGAAGAGATCTCTGTGATCATCTCTCCTGTATAACACAGGCCATAGAACTTCCTTCACTAGAAATCTCTTTTAATAATTGTAACACCATTTTGATCTTTCTGTTATTTGTCTCTTTCTGCATTAGAGTGTCTTATCAGACTCTACTAGTCCCATTATAGAAATATTCTCTGGAAACTATCTCAAAAATAGTGTAATCCAACTCTTTACAATATTAATATGACCAATGATGACACCTGCTCACTAAAGTGCAGAAGATAATGAAGAGGAACTCGTGGGATAGGGGTGTGAATAAGGGAGAAGATGTTAAGAGGTATCAGTGCCCATACCAGCCATAAAGCAGTAGCAACTAAGGAATGGTTTTTCACGTTGTCCAGTTTTAGTCTATATTAGATAGACACACACATGGATATGGAAGAAATTCCACTGACATTTAGTGAATCACACTTACTGGTTTTGGCCATCATAGATGGGAGGCTAAAATATATGGCAATATAATGTGTTTTTAAGTATGAGAAAAAATTCAGACCAATTTGAAAGTTATCAGAAGAATTGCATGAGTTACAGTAGTTGTGATGTCACAAGTAGCTATCGCAAACATCCTGAACTCAAACTACTAAATACATTTGAAAAATATTAGGGCTGTCAAGCAATTAAAAAAATTAATCGCGAATAATCGTATGATTAAAAAATTAATCGTGATTAATCGCGCTGTTAAACAACAATAGAATACCATTTATTTTAAATATTTTTGGATGTTTACTACATTTTCAAATATATTAATTTCAATTACAACACAGAATACAAAGTGTATAGTGCTCACTTAATATTTATTTTTGATTACAAATATTTTCACTGTAAAAACAAAAAAAAATTTTTCAATTCACCTCATACAAGTACTGTAGTGCAATCTCTTTATCATGAAAGTTGAACTTACAAATGTAGAATTATGTACCAAAAAAACCTGCATTCAAAAATAAATGTAAAACTTTAGCGCCTAAAAGTCCACTCAGTCCTACTTCTTGGTTAGCTAATCACGCAGACAAAGTTGGTTACAATTTACAGGAGATTATGCTTCCTGCTTCTTGTTTACAATGTCACCTGAAAGTGAGAACAGGTATTCAGATGGCACTGTTGTAGCTGGCGTTGCAAGATATTTAGTTTCAACCACCATTCCAGAGGACATACTTCCATGCTGATGATGGGTTCTGCTTGATAATGATCCAAAGCAATGCGGACTTACGCATGTTCATTTTCATCATCTGAGTCAGATGCCACCAACAGAAGGTTGATTTTCTTTTTTGGTGGTTTGGGTTCTGTAGTTTCCTCATCAAAGTGTTGCTCTTTTAAGACCTCTACAAGCATGCTCCACACCTCGTCCCTCTCAGATTTTGGATGGCACTTCAGATTCTTAAACTTTGGGTCGAATGCTGTAGTTATTTTTAGAAATCTCACATTGATACCTTCTTTGCATTTTGTCAAATCTGCTGTGAAAATGTTCTTAAAACTAACATGTGCTGGGTCATCATCCGAGTCTGCTATAACATTAAATATATGCAGAATTCAGGTAAAACAGAGCAGGAGACGTACAATTCTCCACCCAAGGCGTACAGTCACAAATTTAATTGACGCATTATTTTTTTAATGAGAATCATCAGCATGGAAGCATGTCATCTGGAATGGTGGCTGAAGCATGAAGGGACATACGAATGTTTAGCATATCTGGCATGTAAATACCTTGCAACACTGGCTACAAAAGTGCCATGATATTGTAAATAAGTGCCATGCCATTGTAAATAAGAAGCAGGCAGCACTATCTCCCGTCAATGTAAACAAACTTGTTTGTCTTAGCGATTGGCAGAATAAGAAGTAGGACTGAGTGGACTTGTAGGCTCTAAAGTTTTACACTGTTTTGTTTTTGAGTGCAGTTATGTAACTCCAAAAAATCTGCGTTTGTAAATTACACTTTCACGATAAAGAGATTGCATGAGGGGAATTGTATGAGGTACTTGTATGAGGGGAATTGAAAAAGACTATTTCTTTTGTTTATCATTTTTACAGTGCATATATTTGTAATAAAAAATAATAGTATAAAGTGAGCACTGTGCACTTTGTATTCTGTGTTGTAATTGAAATAATACTGAAAATGTAGAAAAACATCCAAAAATATTTAACATATTTCAATTGGTATTCTATTGTTATAAGTGCGATTAATCATGATTTGGGGGGGAGGGATAGCTCAGTGGTTTGAGCATTGGCCTGCTAAACCCAGGGTTGTGGTTCAATCCTTGAGGGGGCCATTTAGTGATCGGGGCAAAAATTGGGGATTGGTCCTGCTTTGAGCAGGGGGTTGGACTAGATGACCTCCTGAGGTCCCTTCCAACCCTGATATTCTATGATTCTGATTAATTTTTTTAATCATGATTAATTTTTTTGAGTTAATCGTGTAAGTTAACTGCAATTAATTGACAGCCCTAAAATATTTGTCTTTTTCCTTTTGCTTCTTGAAATAAATGTGAAGGAGCACAAAGAAAGATCTTTTTAAAAAGATGTTGATAAAAATATGTGTTCTTATTAAAATCTTATGATATCCTTCAAACAGAGGAAAACTAGTAAGGCTTGTATATAAATGCATCTCAGAAATCTGCTTTCAGAAATTACTAGAGTTTAGATATTTTTTCTTCTTCTTTTATACAGATTGTCGTATGGACATTTTTCAACAAACAACATTTTCAGGAATTAATCTTACAAGTGTTTTCACTCCCGATAGCTTTGTATGTCGAACAATTTGTACTTATTATCCAAACTGCTTATTCTTTACATTTTTTACCAGGGAATGGAAAGTAGGAACACAAAGGTGAATATGACAGTTAATTTTTAACATTCTAATTAGAAGTATTAAAAATACCCCATATGTCCATTTTTAATAACAAACCATAGCTGTGGGAATGCTCACTAACATACAGCTTTACAAATGTTTTATTCATATGTGTATGTTTTCAAAGGGGGCATTTAATCTCTCAAAGGGCCAAATTCTTTCCTCCAATGTACACAGGGAGCTGTTATTGAAATTGCATATCTAGAGGTACGTACTGTAAAAGTTAATCAGAAAATACATATCAAAGAGGGAATAAACTTCAAATTCTCCTAAATAATCAAAAGCAAAAGATGAATCCATATTAAACTTTTAAAACAGGTATCTGATGCTCGGGCTCTGAACCCCTCTCTCTAGGCTTCAGAGCCCAAACTCCAGCCTGAGCCACAACTTCACTGTATTTTCCACTGAATGCATCCAATGAAGTGAGCTGTAGCTCACGAAAGCTCATGCTCAAATACATTTGTTAGTCTCTAAGGTGCCAAAAGTACTCCTTTTCTTTTAACTTCAAAGCACTGTCTACACAGCTATTTATGGAGCACTAATATGAGCCCCACTAGCCTGAGTCTGTCAGTCCAGGCTGGGCAAATTGCTACTGTGGGCTGTGTAGACATACTCATAAAGTCTTATGTGAAAAGAATGTTGAGGTCATCGGTGCTAACTTCCTCAATTTCTGGGGGGTCCTTGACCCCAGCTTTGCCCCAGGACCTGCCTGCACTCCGCCCCTTCTTCCAACCCCCCCCCTCTCCCCGCCTGCCTCTTCCTGCCCCGGCCACTAAGCAGCTGATCGTGGCGGGTGGAAGGCACTGGAAGGAAGAGGGAAGAGCTGATCAGCGGGGCTGCCAGTGGGCGGGAGGCGCTGGCGGGAGATAGGGGGCAGCACTGATTGACGGGGCCACTGGTGGGTGCTGAGCATCCACTATTTTTTCCCGTGTGTGCTCCGGCAAAACTACTTTGGAAAGCTTTGGCTCTGGGCGCACGGCATGCACGCATAACTCTCACTAGAATACAGACAGGGACCACACATCTCAAAGAACCTCCACTTACAGGTAGAGTAACCTCCTCTTTCCTTGTGAAGCTCAGGCTGTGCAGAACCTAAACTCACCCCTTTTGCATAATCATTATTACCAGGCAGTTTTTAATAGCATAACCACATGGCATTTCACAAAAATACTACCATACGCTTTCTTTTCTAGCACCTTAGCTGTCAAACCCTGGAACCTTAGCATTCTCTGAATGTCTTTTTATATGGAATTATTTTTGCAGTAATGTAAAACAATACAGATGAAAAAGGAGCTTCACTTGCTTGGACTTGGAGGCGCTGCTGCTTTGCAAAACCTTGGTAATAACCGGCCAGATCCCCAACTGGTACAGTGCAGTGCTATGCCAATTTACACAATGTCTCATTTCCCTAGAGCCAGATTGTGCAATTTACAGTTTGATCTATACTGGTGGGTATTTAGTTTGGGAGATCAGTGTTAGGACATGTTCGGTGACTTAATACTATTTTTAATTTTTCTTTTAGAAAGCTTTGTTTCCTTAAGACCTCAGGAAATGGGGTACCACATGGACGTATAGAAAGGGAAAATGCTATCTCTGGTTTTAGTCTTCTAAACTGCAGAAGATCTTTTTCTGGTAAAGCATGCGTTACAGTAAAAACCCAGATCAATTTCAAATGATTAATTTTAATAAGCAATAGAAAATTAGTCTGAGAATGGAGCACCAGTGCAAGGAACATGTTGATTTATTAACATATGCAATGTTAATGCCTTACAGCCTACCATTCCCGCACTTACACGGACACAAACTTTTTGGGAGATGAGTTGAATGTTACCTATGTTGAAGGGCACAAAGCTTGTCAGCAAGTTTGCACAGACACACTCTGCTGCCAGTTTTTTACTTATTTTCCACTCCAAGAATCATGCAACAAGGAAGGGTAAGATAATTTTTTGTAATGTTTTAAAGTTTGCTGAAGAAGTCATACAGCAAGTATATTAGGTAAAAAATTATAATTTAATCTGAAAATTCATTTGATCTACAGTAAATGCAAATGCTACTTGAGAATGTCCTCAAATGGGTCCCCAATTGGAATAGTGCATGAGAAAGGAAGGATCTCTGGCTACACATTAAGGTTATGTAAAAGAAAAGCCAGCACTGGTAAGCAAAAGTTTCACTTAATAAAGCTGTGCAAAGTTAATGAGCAAAATTCCATGGTGGTGTATAGCTCCATTGATATCAATATGAGTATACCTAATTACCACCATGACTCACATAAATGGTATATTTTTCCACGAGGTGTTATTCCACAAGAGTAAGAGTGGCAGAATCTAGTGGTAAATAATGTAAACAATAGATTTACACTGAGATCATACTCATAAAGGGCTCAGAATTCGGTAGGTGTCACTCTTCCTCTTAGTTCTTAACTGATGCTCCAGACGTGGCTGAAATTCCACTGGTGGGTGAAATGTTTCTGACATATAGTTCATATACCATTTGCAGAACACTTTCAGATCTTTTGGGATGCAAACTGCTAAATAGAGCTGTATAGGCTTTTAATTCTTTCCATAGTGTGTATGCAACTACGTAAACCAGATGACAGAGTTGTGGGAGGGACTGATTCTTTCCACGGTGAATGGCCATGGCAAGTGAGCTTGCAAGTCAAGTTATCTACTCAGAGACATCTCTGTGGAGGGTCAATTATCAGCAATCAGAGGATTCTAACAGCTGCACATTGCACTGATAAGTGAGTACTACTCATAAAGGAATGAATTAGTGTAAGATCTTTGACACCACATGAGGTCTCAGTTAACACCTGTCTTTCACAAAAAATAAATATAAATAGTAAAAAAGAGGAGTAGGGAGAAACCAACTATTTTAATGAAACAAAAAGCTGAGATTTTTAAAGCAGAAAATTCAGGTTTCCACAACAACTGGAGCTCAGCACTATTGTCCCGTACGAGAAGACACTTCCAATATTTTCAGTCATTTACAATATCTTTTAAAACCCCACAGACTGAAATTTCTCAGGCTTGTTTTCAGCTCAAAAGTGAATTTCACTGGAAAATGTTGTCTAGTTCTGTGTGGCCACTGTACAGTGAGTGTGAAAAAAAATGTATTTTTCACCAAGTTATTCCCTCCCCCCCCAAAAAAGGGTGTTGTGTTCTGAGGGCTTTTGTTGAAAACAAAATTTGTCAAAGACTTGGACATGAATGGAGATTAGTGTCTTTGATATGGTTAAGAAAGTTTGCCTACAAATAAAGTGTTGAATAATTGCATACAGTGTTGAACATGAGCTGTATGCTAATCTCTGGGGTTGCTCTAATCTGTTCTAATCTATGACAGCTGGTAATAGCCCCTGGGATCTGGTTGCCAGTTGAAAATAGCTAGAATAAAGCAGCACTGTATCCATGCCCTCTTCTTCCCACAGCACATCCCCCAACACTGGCTGTGAGACATAGGAACTAGTTCTTTGCTAACTGAGGACTCTGCAATGCTAGGGAAACTCTCAGCTGGCAAGATCTGGTCAATTTCCATTCTGTTTGCCTGGAATAGTGTCAAGAGGCTGGAGCACCTCAGAGATTCTGCCCTACTCTGTTTAAAAGTTCCTGGAAACAGGGATTTACACTGGAACTAATCACTAGAGTAAAAAGAAAAGGAGTACTTGTGGCACCTTAGAGACTAACCAATTTATTTGAGCATGAGCTTTCATGAGCTACAGCTCACTTCATAGCTCATGAAAGCTCATGCTCAAATAAATTGGTTAGTCTCTAAGGTGCCACAAGTACTCCTTTTCTTTTTGCGAATACAGACTAACACGGCTGTTACTCTGAAACCAATCACTAGAGTATAATTACTAGGATGTTACATTTGAAATGCTTCAATTTAAATGACTCATTGTATAGCCTGTCCCTCTTCTAAAACTTCTTTGAATGAATCAGTTATTTTTATGTTCTAATTATTAGGGAATTGTAGAACTACTGTGGAATTTAGTGCAGCCAGCAAGTACTGAATGCTACAGTGCATAGAAACATACAATACATACCTTTAATGGTTGACAAGTTGGTGAGTACATATGAAGCCATTAACATTTTGGAGACCAGTTATACACAACTGACATTCAGCTGCTCCCTTTGCCTCATTGGGCTGTCTACATTTTAAAAAAGCAGCTCATCCTGTCAGTTACTGATGAAAGTGCTGTCTCTGGATGCTGCCCCAGGGCTGAGGGAACCATGCTGAACATGAAGGAGATGACAGGTGACAGGCCCAAAAGACGGCGAGCATTGATCCAGTAACGTTGGCTACCTTTAGTCACATGGACCTCTGCAAGTAGTCTTACCTAAGGGTGTCAAACTCTGGCCCAGAGTGTCAAGTCCAATAGTGTAAAGATTATCTTTACATGCATGTTATCAAAAGTTTAATTATAGGAGTAGAACCTTACCAATATTTTAAAAGACAAGAGAGCACCCTATTTAAAAAATAGCTTTACTTTGTTGATGGAAAATTAGTTAACTGATATTTTCTAGTTCACATATAAACTTTCTGTAGCAAATCAATTCAAGAGAATTTATATTACTTAATTTATGCACTTACTGAACTTTTAACAATGACTTACTAGTATAATACTGAAATCAAAAAATCTCATACAAAGTCACTAGTACATGCACTCATATGAAATTTGAATCTAGAGAAATGAACTGGAATGTTTCATATAGTTCTATGCAATTACATTTTCTCCTCTACATTTACAGCAAATTTTTTAGTGTTAAGAGACATCTCTATATTTGATAAGTCTTTGAATATACTCTACTGGAATTTACATTCCCAATTCTATTTTGGCTAATAAAAATGGCACACTAAAGTCAATGGAAAGATTCACATTGACTTCAGTGTGGCTTGGATCAGGATCAGGCCCTTAGAAAGGAAAATAAGGAGAGAAGAGACTAAAAAGAGACCAGAAGGGAGAAAGAGAGAAAGATGAAAAGGGATCAGAAAGAATGGGAATATAAAGGAGAGAGAAAGCTGACGTGAAGATGGGAATGTAAATGAGAACAGGAACAGGAGACATGCAAAGCAGAGAAGAGGGAAAAGCTGAATCTCTTTTTAGTTTGACACGATGAAAATGCAGCAATGGAAAGAATGGCATCAGTGCTCTCCTCTGTGCACCCAGGGGTAACTGAAAACATTGGCACCTGCAAACAATATAAAATAGTGAAATTCTCTGAACCTGAGATTGCTTGTTTGTCTTTTTCCTTTAGTCTCGAGAATCCCAACATTTGGCGTGTTTATGCTGGCATTTTAAAACTATCAGAAATAAATGAGGATACACCTGTCTTCAAAGTCCAAGAGATTATTATTCACCCTCAATATGTGATCGCAGAAACTGGATATGACATCGCCTTAATGAAACTTGATAAGCCTATGAATTTTACAGGTACATAGACTATTCCATTATAATAAAATTATTTCTCTAAATTTGGAAGCCTGGCAGGGTGACCTAATGGTAGTTCTCAGCACTGCTGTGCATGAAGCTAGGGTTCCTTTACTAGGTTGATGGGGTCTGGGGGGAGTCAGAAGCTGGGAATGGGCGACAGGGGATGGACCACTTGATGATTACCTGTTCTGTTCATTCCCTCTGGGGCACCTGGCATTGGATACTGTCGGAAGACAGGATACTGGGCTAGATGGACCTTTGGTCTGACCAGTGTGGCTGTTCTTATGAGTCTCACCCTGTCCACCTTGGACAGGAACATAGTGGCACTGTACAGTCTGCAGGGAGAAGCCTAAGGAGAAGAATAGCATCAGGGCTTCAATGGGGACACAGAGAACCTTAAAGTTAAATCTTTCTTCTGACTAAACTAATATTTTTAATGAAATTTTAGATTTACAACAGCCCATATGCTTGCCATCAGAAGAAGAAACAAACACATTTATACCGATTGCCGGGTGACCGGATGGCGTTACACAAAAGAACAAGGTACAGACAAATATTTAACCCATGAATAGCTACATTTTTAAGGACCATTTCATGCTGATACCTGTGAATAGGAACTGAGGTTTCACTCTACACATATGGCAGTGCATTTGCTCACTATTTTACTTAAATGAGCTCCCACCAGAATGAGTGTGCATGAATAAGACTATTCCTAAACTATACAGGGACCCTTTAGATTTATACTGTATATGTCTTCTAGAAGCCTTACTGATGTTACAGCTGTGAGTGCAATTTACTCCTTGTGTTGTGCCACTTCAGATTGTAAGCTCAGTACATTCCCAACAAGTCACAAATAAATGTCACATACACTGATGGAAATATGATAATGAGGTAAATGATGCCGATTTGTTGGTCCATAGGATATCCGTTCCAAAGTGCATCCATGTACCTGTTATACATTTAGGGCCTGGTCCTCCAAACGTTTACACAATTGAGTAATTCTTCTTACTGGGGCTAGATTGCGAACCCCTCACTCATCCTAGTGAGCAGTTATTCACATGAATATTTCCCCTGACCATTGTGAGGAGATGGTTCACAATCTAGCCTATTGAGTCAAGGCACTTCAGCAAACTCCATATCATGACAAGAAATAGGGTGAGGGATGAGATCTTAAATAAGTGGCTCTCAGAACGTAATTATGGTGGGTGTGGAGCTCTTTTAGAACCCAGAGTGAGGGGGAAAGAGCTGATTGGCTGGCTGGGCTGTCAGTCATCCAGAGAGACAGGAGAGGATCTTCTCTTCCTACCAAAGGATTCTGGGTAGGGGAGCCCTTTGTAAAACTCCCCAGCTTCCAGTTGAGAGTGGGAACTGCATTAGGAAGGGTCACTTGGAGGAACCTGGGCCCCCTGGAGTTGTGTTATGGAATCTATTCCTTTAAAAAAATATTTAAAAAATCTGAGCTTTTAAATTTTTTTTTTAAAGAACCCCTCTGAAATGGGTCTTGCTACTTATTGGACAACCTTGCTGCTGCACTTTGCCAGAATTATATAGGTATGGCTGAGGCTTCACTGAAAATCAGCTCAGATTTTTTTTAATTCACTGATCCACAGCTAAAAAAAATGGAGTACAAATTTTTCTCAAAAATATTCACTTTGGGTTGAAATTGCCAAAGAAGAAGGTGTTGGTATCAAAGTAGAAGTTTCCAAAAGTTATAGGCATGTGACATGAATGAATGATTCTGATATCACTTATTCAAATTTTACAAGTTGTAACTCTTTTGATTTTATTAGCGGCACGTTCTTCTTTCACATTGGTGTATATACGATCAGACTCAGGGCTAGAGTGTTTTTAAAGAAAATTCTATCATGACCTTTGTTACAGGTATTGCAACCAGGCAACCACTATAATATAACCCCAGCATTGCTCCAAATTCTTTTAATCTCCATTATAAAAAGTGAGTATCAAAGACTTATTAAACAATGCTAAGTTTATTGACTAAAATTACAAGAGGTTCCTCACAAAGACCCTAATTCTGTGATTTAAGAAATGGAAATGCTCGAGAATACAACCTTGATCTGAAATGTAGATTTTAGTATGTTAAGTACTGAAATCCAGTATAATTTTTTAGTTTCTAGCTGATTGTTAATCTAGACAACAATATGTAGCTAAAATAGATATTTCCCTCTCAGTCTGTCTAAAGAGCAAGCTCAGGAACAAAAAGATTGAGCTTAGTTTTGTTTGTATAGCCCTGTACCTTGCTTTTGAACAATAAAAGATTAAAATCGTATACATTATAATATTACATAGGGATCGCTCCTTCACCCATCTTCCTACTCTGATTTGAGAGCTAATGTTTAATGTGAAATTTGATGAAGTTACACAAATAAAATATACGTTGGATTCCTTCTAATCTAATGACTAAGTGCCTCTATCACTGTTGTCAGTTTGAATGCATGCACATATCTGCATGTGTTGAGCTAGGGCCTGAGCACCACAGCTGTTGCAGCTGGGGAATCTAGATGCTACTGTAATACAAATACATAATTATTTATAATATGCAGTGCTCACAACTACTTGCAAAAACAGGACTACAATCTGCAAGGGACCCTCTCCTGAAATCCTCAGGGAACAGTGGATTCACAGTAGCCAGTTCCGCACATGGTTTGTTGATGCAAATATGGAAAACAGGGTAGATATTAATATGGTGCATAACTGCACCATCAGCATGGGTGTCACTGAGTACAGCATCCACAGTGAATAGCTGGTGATAACCCTCAATTCAGCACTTTAGCAGCAATATGGGGAGGTGAGGAGGAACCCACACGTACTCAGTGGAGACAGACAATATGCCATGTGTAAAGGACATTGAGGGGTACCAGAGCAAGCAGCATAGTAAATTCAAGATATAGCCATGCCACACACCATAGCCTGTTGCATCACACCGAGAGGCCACACTAATAGTGACCAGGGGCAGCCTAATATGTGGCTAGACAGCCAGACAGAGGCACCTATAAGTGATAACATATGAGACCTATACTTCACCTTTACCCCTTCTCCCATGGGGGCTGATGATGTACCTTAACTTGCCATCCCATACTGGCTCTGTCAACAATCCGTGGCATTATTCTGGATTTACACTGCCTTATCTGAGCAGATTCTGGCCCATGGTGCTTGCACGTTCATGTTGAGTGGGCTCTTGTTCAGTGCGCCCTCTTTGTAATAACTCTATGTTGGGATTCCTAGAGTTTTATTTTCCTTGTTTTGATACAACTGACACTTCTGTGATCTTAGCCATGTATTGTGTTGCTAATAGATCAAGTGCAAGATATTCTTCAGAAGGCTACTATTCCTCTAATATCAAATGAAGAATGCCAGACAAGATATCAGCAGGACAGAATAAACGACAAGATGATATGTGCTGGTTATAGAGAAGGTGGAAAGGATGCTTGTAAGGTAATGGGATGATAAGTGCCCAATCGTGCATTCTAATCACTGGCTACAATCTTGTAGAAACACTTTAAAAATAGCATCAGCTATTAAGAAATAGATGGATGCATAGATATATGCATGGCGATAACATAAATTCTCACTTGTATCTGCCAAAAGCATAGATGACTGAGACAAAGATGGAACCCTTTTCAGTTAACACGCACGAACAATAATGCACCTGCTTTTTTGGCACAGTACAGTAGCAGTGGAGAGGAGATGGTCTCCCTAACAGAGGACAAACCAGATAGAATGTTTATGCTACATTTGACCTTAGTCAAAAGGCTGAGGACAAAGAGATGTTAAGATGAAGATCACAAGATAAAAGCCTGCGAATTGGCATCTTCCCCCCCCCCCACTAGTATATAAAGGAGAAGAAACTCTTAATTAGAAATGCAAATGTGTATTTTCATTAGGCTTTAAACAAGCAGATGTAAATATTGGTTGGAACTCTGCTGGATAGCATCGAGTAGAAATTGGTCTAACTGAATGAAAAATATGTAGAAGTTAACTTTCCTGAAACACATGAGCCTGATTCACCCCTGTAGCTCAGATCTTCAGAGGCATTTAGGTGCCTAGCTCCCATTGAAATCAGTTGGAATTAAGCACCTAATAACTTTGTGGATCTGGGCCTGTGTTATGCAGTACAACTCCATGGAAACGGATGGATTTAGAATGGTCTGAAATGGGAGTAATGCTGTGGTGAATCTGGCCCTCCTTTGTAAAAGAAGCACTAAGCAAAACCATCTTTTGCACATCTTGTCTTTTCCTTCTGTGATACAGGGAGACTCAGGTGGGCCATTATCATGCAAACATGAGAATATCTGATATATGGTGGGCATTACCAGCTGGGGTGAAGGATGCGCTCGCCCAGAACAACCAGGTGTTTATACAAAAGTGGCAGAATATGCAGACTGGATTCTAGAAAAAACCATGTAGCACAAGAAAATTCTTGAAAATATTTGGATTCCTAAATCATGGCATGCAACAATAATCCTGAAAGCAATTTTGTGACACACGTTGAAATACTGTAAATTGTGGTCTTCTTTAGTCTAAAGCACAGCAGATAAACTTAGTAAGGCAGAAATGCAAGAATGAACTGACTTTACCATTGTATGTCATAAAAAGATCAATAAAAATAAAATCCTACTTTGTAGTCACTGATCTGGAATAATAAAGACTATGTTCTAAACCATTGATTTCCACATGCATACCAATAATCATTCTCCTGGACCTGGTCCCTCTCCCACTGAAGTCAGTGAGAAGATTTGCCTTTCTCTTCAGCATAAGAAAGAGGTGAATGGACACAGATACATTCTGGGTTCAGAAAAAAAGCATAAAAAATTCAGGACAGTCTTGGTTGATGCTGCCTCTACAAAGTTCAATAGTCATTAGCCTCAGGTTGGGATTCAATATCAAAACATTTTTCAGCTCTGTTTGATGACAAGATGGTTATTTACCATTGGTGATGTGAGGAGGTTAATAGGCTAGGGGATCATTGTTAGTGGAATATGTATTCTCCTGAAGTAACATTTAGATTATTACAAGGAAGGAGGGCACACAATTTCTGTAATTGTTTAGTAAACTTCATACAAAGATATTTCTATATTGCCCATCCCTGTAGCAGCTAAGCGCTGCACAAACAAATTTTTACATTGTGTCTTTTATATTTACTTTAGACTTATTTCTTCAAAAAATATATTTTTTTATGAAGGATCAGAAGGAAATCTAGTCAGATCCCTTGGTGATCCTTTAGTGAATGGGTTATTTACGCATCAAACATTATCTCTTTTTTTTAATGTTCTGTAACTTTGACTGAAAGTTGCCTCGACAGCTACTTCTAAGACTGAAATCTGAAATGGGATTTCAGATTTTTAATGGGGTTGTAAACACAACAGCGGCATTCACTTTTCTTGAATTGGTGCTGACCGTGGTTTATTCTCCTCCACACTTATAGACTAATTGCTGGTTGGAGCAGAACTTATAAGAACAACCATACTCGGTCAGACCAATGGTCCGTCTAACTCAGTATCCTGTCTTCTGACAGGGCCAGTGCCAGATGCTTCAGAGGGAATGAACAGGACAGGACAATTATTGAGTGATCCAATCCCAGCATCCGGCAGTCAGAGGCTTAGGGAGACACAGAGCATGGGGTTGCATCCCTGACCATCCTGGCTAGTAGCCATTGATGGACCTATCCTCCATTAACTTATCTAATTCTTTTTTGAACCTAGTTATATTTTTGGCCTTCACAACAACCCCTGACAGTGAGTTCCACAAGCTGACTGCATTATGTGAAGAAGTATTTACTTTTGTTTGTTTTAAACAGCTACCCATTAATTTAATTGGGTGACCCCTGGTTCTTATGTTATGTGAAGGGGTAAATAACATTTCCTTATTCACTTTCACTTATTCACTTTCACTATTTGCAGCTCTCCATTCTGAAAAGTGACCATTTTTTCATACTCTTTGTTTCCTGTTTTTTTTAAATCTAGTTACTGGTCCATTAGAGGATCTTCCCTCTTTTATCCCATGACAGCTTTCTTTGCTTAACAGTTTTTGGAGAGGGACCTTGTCAAAGGCTTTCCGAAAGTCCAAGTACACTATATCCACTGGATCACTCTTGTCCACATACTTGCTGATATCCTCAAAGAATTCTAATGGATTGGTCAGGCATGATTTCTGTTTACTAAAGCTGTGTTGATTCTTCTCCAACAAATCATTTCCATTTATGTGACTGATAATTCTGTTCTTTACTATAGTTTCAGCCAATTTGCCTAGTACTGGTTAAGCTTACCGGCCTGTAATTGCCTGGATAGTCTCTGGAGACTTTTTAAAAAATCTGCATCACATTAGCTATCTTCTAGTCATCTGGCACAGAGTCTGATTTAAGTGACAGGTTACATACCACAGTTAGTAGTTCTGCAATTTCATTTATGAGTTCCTTCAGAACTCTTAGTTGAACACCATCTTGACCTGGTGACCTATCTCCATGCCACTGGACTTCTAGGTGGTTTGTGGAGACCAGCTAAAGCTCAGTCAATAGCAATTAAACTTACATGACCAAGTGCTGAAATGGTACTATTTACATGAGGTAAGGCCACCAAGGTCTGTGATTTGGAGGGTGTATGGGTAGCAAGGGATGGAAATAGGTGATCTATCTGAGCGAGGATTCAGGTGTCACTCTGTTCAAAAACCAGTCGGAGAACACTTCAATCTCTTTGGTCACTTGATTACAGACTTAAAAGTGGCAATTCTTCAACAAAAGAACTTCAAAAACAGACTCCAACGAGAGACTGCTGAATTCGACTAATTTGCAAACTGGATACAATTAACTTAGGCTTGAATAAAGACTGGGTGTGGATGGGTCATTACACAAAGTAAAACTATTTCCCCATGTTTATCCCACCCACCCCCACTGTTGCTCAGACGTTCTTGTCAACTGATGGAAATGGCCCACCTTGATTATCACTACAAAAGGTTTCCGCCCTCCTTCCCGCCCCCCCACTCTCTTGCTCACCTTACCTGATCACTCTCATTACAGTGTGTATGGTAACACCCATTGTTTCATGTTCTCTGTGTTCTCAGCCTACTACTTGGTCCCTAGATCATGAAGGCGACCACAGAGCACCTTGACAGCACCATGGAAAGATCCAAACTACTGGCTGAATAGGTACAGAAAGACAACTGCATGTGCTTTTTGGTAGATTTAAGGGATGTTGGCATTGTTTACTCACAAGATCGGATCTCTTTGAGGAAAAAAAATCCCAGTTGTTCTAGCTGCCTGCTGTGTCCTGCATAACATCTGTGAGCCAATGGGAGAAAAGCTGCTGCTGGGGTGGAAGGTGGAGGTGAAGTGGGCAGTTGCACACAACAAGGGAGAGCTGCTAGGTGTACTTGCCAAGCAGGGCAATCAGAAAAAGGCTTTTAAAAATATGCAGAGTTATTAAGGTGGGGAGGTGGCTTCTGGTCTCCCTGATCCTTGGGCAGTGGAATTCATAATTGTGACAAGAACAGTCAGTGGCAGGCATTGTGGGACAGCTGCTGGAGGACTGTTAGAATCGACACAGGTAATGCAATGACCTCAATATGCCAACCACCACTCAACACTGTTTGGGGAGGTGGTGTTGCTGTGTCAACATAACAGGGCATATACAGCAGCAAGAGACAAAGTTAAATGTAGACATATGCACAGCTAGGTCAATAAAAGGCAGCTTATGTCGACTAACTGTGTTGTGTAAACAAGGCCTAAAGTTACTGAACTTCTCAGGTCCTTGCCTGTGTGTAAAGAGATTTGGTACCTTTTTTCATGTTTGGTATCCTCTTTACTCTTAGAGTAGTCTTACTGAAATCAATGAGACTACTCAAGAAGTAGGATGCTAATCCAAGCCAGTAAAGTATCAAAATTTGGCTCTCAATTCATACTTTACAGTGCCTTGAGATCCTAAGGCTAGAGAGTGCCTTACCTCAGCTTTGGGGTAGATCGTGACGTGGAGTGCACAACCATGCAAAGGCGGGTTCTTACTCCCTTGGACTCTCCTGTGCATGCTCGTAGTCTGTCACTAAAAATCCAAGTTTATGCAAAATTACAATTCACCCATGAATTTAAAATCAAAATCTTGGGTTAAATTGTGTCTTAGGCTATACCCCCCTTTCAGGGAGCAAGAGGGGGTGAGAACCTGCCTTACACTGTTGAATGAGTTACATGGCTATGTGCATGCTTATTCCCTTGCTAGAACTGAGGAAAGACCAGAGCTGTGGCTCTAATCCCCCACTTGCTGGGCAGCATGGCAGGGGACCATTTCAGATTTTGGTGGTGGTGGTGAGGGGGATGGGACAACTTTAACTGTGATTCTAGGTGCTACTTAGGCACCTGAAATCTCTAGGGTGTTTTTTTGTGTGAGTGTGTGTAGATAATAATGTAGAAATTAGCTGACAGGAGCACTGTATTAATTCCTATATAAAGAAAGAAAAAATATATGCAAACATCAATTAAAGCATATTTTAAATTAATATGTAAATTTAGAACAATCAGGAGATAATTCAGCAAGATATTCCCAATCCCAAACCTTGGGGTATCAATTTTGAAGCCTTAACACAGATATTAGAAAAACAGGTTTGATACTTTGTACACTATCTTTAGTAGGGATAAATACATAGAAATAAAATCTGCTTACTTTCTCTAACAGACACGCTCTGTGTTACTGCCATTATATCCTCTATTTTAGTCAACTGTTTTTCACTCCATTAAAATGTATTTATTTAATTTTAATATATGTGATTGTTTTTTTTTCTCTTTTATTAAGAAAGGGAATTTATTTTTCTAGTTATTTTGGCATTTATGGTTACTGATCACAGTCACGTACGTGACTCACTAATATTTGACTCCATCATCACTGTTATTATCCAACTTGGAACCATATTTATTTTTGTACAAATTTTAAATTATTTTACAGATATCACTAAAAAATACAATTTGAAAATCAGTGACCTTCATCTGCACAGTGACTAAAGTTGTGTGTTTAGCCAATGTTTTTGTTTTTAAACTGGCACTGCTAAGGTGAGTACAAGCTAAATTACACTCGAGAAGCACACTATTCTTTGATTGTACCATTTCAACTAATGAATGACAAAGCACAATATAGTAATAAAAGTAATAATGATAATTACTGCAGCCAGGACACGTTAGGCATTTTAGAACTCACTACACAAAGAATTAAATTTAAGCATAAAAGAGAAATAAAATTATGAAAGACACAGACCAGTCAAAAAACTAATATAACTGTACTGGAATCCTTAACAAACTTGGAAAGAATAAAATTACAGAGAATATATATGCATTGGGTATGTTGACAGGAAGTAACAAGAAGCAACAACAACAACAACAATAAAAATACAAGTGTGTGTGTAAGAGAAACTGTGTGTGTTGTGGGGGGTAT